TTTAGTCTGACCGGCGATGGTCTTCAATAGAGTTGATACACCACTAGACGAATCATGTTACATTGAAGAAACGTAGACCAGGGGATTAAGAACTCACCTGCCAGGCCTACCCAGGACCAGGAGCATTTCTCCGCTGCGCAAGAGCCCGTCATGATTTTTCAATATCTGCAGCTTACGGTCTCTGCGGTTGATCAAGCCGCCGACCAGATCACCCACCTGCAAGATAGCGTTCAAGAAATCCTTCTGATAAGCTGTTGAGCGGCCATAGCCATGGACACTGAGGTTCCGGAATGACACACCCGCCGTACGCTGTGGGAACCGATCAGGATCTTGCGAGGACAAGTGAAGTACAGTCCTCGCCCAGTGACTCGCATTGAATTTCGGAGAATTGGGGTCCAAACTCGGATCACAGTGTGTCGTGAAAGGGTTGGGCGGCATACCATCGTGCCGAAACCGTGTCGAGTCTGCCGTGAGCCGTCTGGCAAGATTCATAATCTTGCACTGATCTTCAGTCGATATGTCTCCTTGGTACTCCTCTGCACTAACAATATCCGTATTGCTACCGGAGTTGACTGACGCAGTCATACTGGTGTCTTCCTTGTCATTCATTTTCGGGCTATATGGAATTCAAAGTTCCTTTCTGTCGCTTGCAGGCCGATCGATGGCGAGAGAGTATGCAAACCGAGTCAAGCGGAAACGTGGAAGATAAATTTGAGGCACTCTGTTAGTGATGGGATCACCGGTGAATCAAGACCAATGGTTGAACACATATGACAGAGAGCGCCATAGAATGAATCAACTTATAACTATAGGATCAACCAAGTACTATGAGACGCAGTCTTGTTCGCTATATATATGTTATGGAAGTCGATGCGAAACGGACAGCTATGGCAAGCAAGCCCCTTTTGATAGTGATATTTGCTAGCCATGATGTAATATGAGAAATCCTTTCGTTTCAATTCTCTGATTTGCGATGCTTCGTGGGCGCCGAAGAAGCGACATGAGAGCTGCTATTGTTAGTTCGGCGCCGAAATTAGTGGGGAATCGGAGGACATCGGCGTTCATCCTGCATCCCATGTCGGAGCTTTCGGCGGCGAATGACTCCACAGCTTTTCCTCAAGCTCTCCTCTTCCATCCTCTTCCCAGTTCTTTTCTTCACGGGATTTCCGCCAAACACCAAGTGAAGAGATCATGTCGGTAGTAACACAAGGCTCCGAGCCCCTGCATAAGGCATGCGATACGTGCAGAGCCAGGAAAACGCGATGTAGTGAGTCGAGGTTCCAGTCGGTCGGAAGAGAACTGCCTCCAGGTCGGTGTCTGACTAATCTCGTTTTCACGCCAGAAATCTCGGGCAACACTGATGCCTGCGACTTCTGCCTGGTATATCAGGCCGCCATGTCTCGCCTTTCGGAATGCTGATTGTTCATTATTGTTCATAGTCCCAGCACCGTCCCTGCTCCTTTACTCCAGTCAAGCGACCAAGGAAGCGCAAGTATGACGCGTCAGGTACAAACAGAACACTAGCTTCGGACTGCCACGGAAGCTAATCTACCACACCAGTTTTCATACCACTGTCCTCCACATACCAACAGTCCGTTCGTGACCTTCCTGGTCCGCAGTTAGGCTCCGAAAATGTGGGCTATCAGCAGCCGGGACTGTATATCGACTCTTTGCTTGCAAATCGCCAAGCCTCTCGCATACACGGAGGTGCCAGTCATCCAGATCAGGTATTGTCTGGCCCTTTTGCTCACCGTGCTCCTATCTGACCATGGCCTCGCAGCTGACCACTATCTTTGGCCCAAACCCCAACATCTCTTTCTTCCCTGAGCGACGGGTTCGCGCCATCAGTCAGCGATTGGGCCACAACCGGCTCGATCAGCTACTAGATGAAATACGCGCGGTGGTTGCAACCAAGGTCAAAAATAGTTGTGCCATCCCTCAGTCATATATACAACGACACCTGGGCACCGGAAAGATCCAAGTCCCGAGTCGTGACATTCTCAACGGACACATTTCTGGTACCTGCGCCTTGACTGACCTCTTTTATTCTCATGCTGGCAATAATAACCCTCTTACAGCCTACTTTGACTCGATACATCCGATCTATCCATTTCTTTGTCCAGATACCTTCCGTGCGCGTGTAGCGTCGCAGGATCTTGTTCAATCACTAGGAACAGATAAGGTTTGGGCAGCACTATTCTACGCAATAGTGGCGATTGGGTGTCAGAACAATGAAGGAGGAAGCTTTGATACTGGTGTGGGGGAAGCCTGGTCATACTTCGAACGGTCGTTGTCATGTTTCCAGGATCTTCTCTTCGGTAGAGGCTCATTGACTGCAGTCCAAGTGTGTTGCTCCCGTTAATATCACAGTTCATGACTAATGCGGTTTCATTATGCTAGGCACTCCTCGCCATGGTATCTAGCCCGTCATCAAGCCCCATAATACAAGACTGACATCTTTCACAGGCTATATTCTCATCAACAGTGTCTGCATTCAACTTCGAACCCTTGATGCTAACAGAGGCTGCCGTTATGGCACAAGGTTTAGGGTATCATCGTTCGAATAGTGCACAAGAAGGTCCGTGCCGTCGCACGTTCTGGGTGCTCTACTATATGGAGAAGACGTCCTGCTTTGCGACTGGTAAAACTTCGGTGAGTTGAGTGTGGCCGTTATCATCTTATTATTCTTCTAAATCGGGGTTCCATGGGTCTAGGTATTGGATGATGCCAACATAAGCTGTGCTATTCCCGATATGATGGAGTCCACTTTCCATGACTATGACTGGTTCTTTAACTTCGTTAAATATGCTCGTCTAGTCTCCAAGATTCACCAATCTCTCTTCACAATCAGCTCGGTTAGTCAGCCGCTATCCAACTATAACTCTGTGGTTGAGAGCCTACGTATAGAATTGGAAGCCTGGCGCGCGACCATTCCGACCCGGTTTCGGCCAGGAGAAAAATTCAAAACTCGTTCTTTGCACGAGCCCCTGGCGGTCCAAATTGCTTTGATTACCCACTTCCTTTATCTGAACGCTCTCCTTACACTGTCGTGGACCGTCCTCCACTACGGAGCCGTCCGTTTGGGGTCTACACAACAAGAACTTATGAAGCGCGACTTGATGCGGACTGCTCGAAGTGTCCTCGAGCTCACCGTGCACATCGAGGTAGCGCCTTCCACACCGGTCTGGTAAGCCTCTACTATATTTCTGAGCTATATAACGACTACTAAGTAGTGACATACGTCTTGCTGTGCCACAGGATACTCGCTGTCTTGCCACTATCATCGCTGATGATCTTATTCGACCTGGTGGTCCACAACGCCAACCACCCAGAAACTGGTCTCAGCCTCGCTCTTCTCGACATTGCCGGCGGGCACTTCAGTAGGCTAGAATATGCTAGCAATGGTGCCCTTCCGGGATCTCTAATAGCAGAGTTTGCCCATCTTGCTCGTCAATACGTTTCCGAGACCCGCAAGCCCAAGTCTATGTCCAGAGACTCCAATGAGAGTAGCATTCCATACCAGGCTCAGGACCGTGTAGGAACCTCTCCGTCCGCGCCAGAACCCACAACCAGTGTCGCCCCCGCAGATCCAACGGGGCTGGTTGCGCCGGCGGTGCTCCCGCAGGGGCCGGAACCTGTCGCTTCAGATGCTCCCGGGGTCATGCAACCTTGGAGCCCTGCTTCTCTTGATCGAAGTGAAGCGCTTTTCCTGCCTTATATCGACGATCCAACTTACTATTTTGGGGATTTGCAGTTGCTTGGTATCGATTTAAAAGATCTGTTTGACCATTCGTATCAGTTACCAGGAGTGAGCGATAGTGGGGTGTAGTCCCAACTCAGCGCTACATGTACCATCTTCGCGTCCCACATCATAGGCCATTCATAGTTATCATTGCCAGGTACGTCTCAATTTCTTAGCTCATCCTCGTTCCTGGCCAAACAGTACCCTGAAAGTGGATCAAAGTTCGAGGCTTCCTTGCAGTGCAAACGCAGCATCGATCCAATCGATCCAATTGTCACCCTATGGCCGACTGACAAAGAACTACCGTAACCACAGGAATGCAAGTATAATATGCGATGGGTCATGACCTTGTCGAAAAAATACACCCTAAAGGGCTGATCGTGCCAGTGGCCTAGTTTTGCCGGAAACGGAAACGCGGCCTACTAATGACATACATCAGTCACGTGCAGTGCATCCTAACTAGCAATATATTTGCGAGCACGTCTTGTCAACTTTCTACAATTGTCACAAACCCGCTGTAGTCGAAAAATATTCTTTATGTTTTTTTGCCTGCGGGCTTCCTCTATATAGAGCCCGTACGATGTCGTGCGGTCGCTCCGCTCCTCTAGCAATGGAGCAAGAACTTCGTCATAAGACCAGCCAGACAATGTCTCCGACCCCAGCATTGAAGGTCGATCGTCCGCACGGGTTCAACCTGGCCAGCAAGGGCGCTGGCGTTTGAGGAAACGTCCCATATCCCTACCGACTATGTGAGATACATACTCTTGTTCACCTTCTCCGTTGAACCGATACCATGCTACCGCGGCGGCCAGACTTATTCACTTAAGCGCGATAAATCTTCAAGGGAAGGGGGGTGTGACACGACAAAATTTATGCCTTCATATCGCCGTATCTCGTGATGGCCGCATGTGATTATCCTCCTGAGAAGCGATCGTCACAGCCTGAACCCGACATTCACTTCAATATCGATGCCAACATTACCATATTGGCCACATTCCTGGCATCACCTAGGGAGATGATCTGACGATGGGTCGGGAGTTGATTCGCCACTCAGTGGTGCAGTTTGTCGGTGTCTTATCGTGAGGGGGCCCGTTACTGTCTGCATTGTGCCTATGACGTTATCGTTCGGACTGCTCGGTCGGAGAATGGATTAGCAACCGTGATGAAAACAGTCGTCTGGGACCCGGATATACCTGATGCAACCTGAAAGGTAGCTGGCAGTAAATCTCCAGGGCGTGAAGCCTAGGATGGCACCTGGATCAGCCGCAAGGTGACCGCAGCTGTTGCACATCCAGGCGGTGTGGCTGAATGTGCATGGTCATGAGATGCAGGACACTCCGGAAAAACAGAAGTACTCGGTGGTACTTCGAGTATCTTTCTGTCACACTGCCTGAGCCCTAGGGAATGGTGGGGGTGAGTACTAGCAGCCTGAAGAGTGGAGGGAGTATCTCATTACACAGTAGATACTATCCATCCAGCGATGGTCACAAGTCCAACCCCGCACATGCACTCCGGCTTGCCGAGAAGCGCGCGGGTCCTCTCAGATTGGCTAGTCCTGCGGGACTGGACCGTGTTACGCTCCGCGACAGCCAATGGCTCGCGTTGTTGCCGGCATGAGATCGAGACATTGGCCGCCAATCGGCCCTGCTGGGCCCCGCCTGGATATCCCCCGACCTTTCAAGGTCTCCGTTCTTCATCTGCAAGCCTCGAGCTTGTCTCTCCATCCCTCCGCCACAGTGGTACGATCGTACAACTTCATCCCCTGTACCGTCACTATGGATGCCAAATCGCTGCAACAAGCACGTGGGACGCCGCCTCCCGAAGAGCGTCGTCCCCTTCTCGGTCCCGATGGTGATGTTGTACAATATGAAGTGGACGATGACATAAAGGGTAGGTCCCGACGACCAGCATCACGATGGATATCAGTTTGGGCCAAGTCAATCTTTATCACGGCCATCCTCTTGATTATGTGTGTCCTGCTGGTCCTGTCCTTGCTCTTTCTGGGCCTAGGTATCTCTGGCCTCCCTCATGGCCCGTCCGAGAAACCATCGACTCCATACGCTCCTATCAAGAATGTGGTGGTACTCGTTCAAGAAAATCTCTCATTTGACACCTATGCGGGAGGCTTGACATACAACTCTACAATTGACGGCCTCGTGAACCGAAAGTATTGCAACCCTTCCGATATAGAAGATCATAAATCGCACCAAGTCTGTGCCAAACCTACCGCCAAGAATGTCGCCCCCGATGATCCCGACCATTCTATCGCGGGTGGATCAATGCAGGTCTACAGCACTTATCATCCGGATAACATAAGTAGTGCTTCCATGCAAGGATTTGTGACAGAACAGGTCCGCTCATACGGCATCGACGGCGACCTCTCCCGCGCGGCCGAAGTCATCAACTACTACACCCCGGACCATGTCCCTGTCCTCAACGCCATGGCTGAGAACTTTGTACTCTTTGATGCCTGGTTTGCTGCAGTTCCGGGTCCTACTAATCCCAACCGCGCCTACTTGACGTCTGGAACTAGCTACGGGCATGGAATGAACGACATTGGCTTTTTGACCTCGGCTCTGCCTCAGGTGTCAATATTCGAACAGTTATCCAACGCTAACATCAGCTGGATCAATTATTCCAACACAACTGGCTTCCTCCCTGATGCTCTGTTCTATAAGTGGACTTTGAGGACCGGAAAGTCCGAGACACACATCAAGCCCATCGACGAGTTCTACCGCGACGCTAAGGCAGGCACCCTTCCACAGTTTACCTGGATCAATCCTGAATGCTGCAAGTACATGTCATTCCATCCTCCGTCCCCTATAAATATGGGCGAGGGATTCATCAAGAGCATCTACGAGGCGCTTCGATCCTCACCGCAGTGGAACGAGACCCTCTTCATCTTGACTTTTGACGAGCACGGAGGTTTCGCGGACCACGTCTCCCCGCCCGAGAATGTACCCCCTGGTGACCATCGCACTCATAAAGAATGGGCTCTAGATGGAAGCAGAATTGAGTTCAAGTTCGATCGGCTCGGAATACGCGTCCCCACGCTGCTGATGTCTCCCTGGGTTGGGAAGGGCGTTGTCCAGAATCGTCCTACAAATCAGCCGAACGATTTCACCCATACTTCCATTCTGAAGTATCTCTCTGAACTGTGGGATTTGCCTGTATTGACGCCGAGAGTTGCCTGGTCGCCGAGTTTCGGGGGATTGATCACCAACAGGTATCGGGAAGATACCCCTGAGAAACTTCCTGAGCCTGCTGACTTCTAGATGATCTATAAGGGATGTGATATGATAAATGTAATGACTAGAATGGACCATAGGTTGCACACTTTCTGCGTATGATATTGATTGGAGGACTGGAATTTGGCTCGAGGACTGTGTCAATTACTGGATTAATTATTCTATTATCGTTCATAGTTATAAAGTATGGCAAGCTATCACAATTGAACAAACAAATTGGTATCTAAGAAGCGAAAAATCCCCTTCTCCACTCGACTAACATACTGCCTGGGTGGACGAGCCTCCAACCCTTCTTCCCTGCACTGCAGCAATCACCTGACCCTTAGAATCCAAGGAACTTCTTCCGCTTCGACTTGACCGACCGCGACCTCGATCGCTGCGTGATCGCCGAGTTTCTCGTGTTGACCCGATCGATATCGTACGGGTTCGCCTCATACTTCCGACCTTCACGCTCATCACTCGACACCGATGCCGTAGCCACCGACTCGGCGCGCTCAAGATCCAGCTCCCGATCGACCCTAGTCTCATCCACTCCATCAGCGACCGCCTCAGCTTCTTCCTCGACAACCTCCTGGCCCTTCTCCGGATTCAGCGACTTTTCCGCGAGTTTCCTCATGAATGCATCCGCTTCTCCAGCATACTTGCATTTGCGTCGAATAGCGGCACCATACTTGTAGAAGATGAACGGGAAAGGTAAGCAAGCGACCGACAGGAAAGCCGGGATGGACGATGCCCAATGAATACCCAGGTTCTGGTACATGTACGTCGTGAAGAGAGGGAATCCTGCACCGAAGCAGCTTCGAATGATGGAATTGGCGGCCAAAACCGAGGCAGCATAGATCGTGTACGCGTCAATCAGGTATGACATGATATTAAGGAAGACGAGGACCATGCCGAATCCGAACGGAGCAGACGCAATGATACTGACGATCCAGTGAACGTTGAGACCGTTGGTCCAGGCGAACCAGAACAACCCAATCGGGATGGTGATACTGCCGATCATGGAGGGTGGAAGACGTGCCTCGGGAGGTGCGAACCCACGGTGTTTCTCATGCACCCGCTTATACCGCTTGTTGTCCCACATGTTGTATCCGACAGCTGACATCATTCCGACCATAACTCCCAAGAAGGGCAGACTGCCTACTCCTTCGTTCCAGCCGCGCAGTTGTTGGTATACGATCGGGAAGGCGTCGAAGAGCATGTACAGCGTGCCGTATACGATGGCCATGTATAGGGAAAGAAGGAGGACGATGGGTTCAGCGAATAGGAGGATCCATGGGCGCAAGAGGGCCGCTCCGAAGGCGCTGGTCACGGAGACACGGCCGCGTTCGACGTCGAGTTTGCTGATGTACGTCTTGCCGGTGAGCTTGCTGAGACGGTCGGCGCGCTTCCGGAGGAGGACTGGGGCGTATGTTTCGGGAACAATAAGGAATTGGACAATCCAGATGAAGCCAGTAAAGGCTGCCAGGAAGCCTTCCACCCATTTCCAACCGGCGCTCTGGCCCAAGAAACCGCCGATGACAGGCCCAAGGGTCGGTCCGAGGAAAGGACTACCCGCGAAGACACTCATCGCCAATCCTCGCTGTTCAGCGGGGAAGACGTCTGCAATTAGTCCACCGGCGTTGGTTAGAGGACTGGATCCGAATGAGCCAGCGAAGAATCGCAGGATGATGATTGTCCATGGGTTTTTCGAGCCTGTCGCACCAGCACTGAACACGGCCAGACCCATGTAGGAGACAAAGAAAACGAGTTGGCGGCCGATGAGTTCACTCAGCGGTGCCCAGACGAGGGGCCCAATAGCAAACCCGAGCACGAACAGTGACACACCCAGAGTGGCTACCTCAGTACCGATGTTGAAGTGCTCGATCACTTGGTCAATACTGCCCGCATAGGCAGACGAGGCCATGGAAACGCCAAAGGTCGCAAATGCAGCAATAATGGTGTAGACCCATTTCATGTTCTTGTTAAAAAGCATGGGGTTGCGTGGGTCGTTGGGAATCCATTCTACGACGAACGGATCGGATTCGGTCCCTGAGCCGACATAGGGATAGTCGATGATCTCCTGAGTGACGACACTCTGGTCGACAATCAGACGCCAGTGAGGGATCTTAGCCATGATTTGGATGGGATCCTCGTGAAAGAACTGGCTGGGATTGGAGCATGATGAACTGAGACAGATCAAAGCGGGTGGAGTAGCGTAGTTATAAGGATGATTAGCTTGCTGGGGCTGTAATGGCGTGTTACGAGGAATTTTCTTAGGCCTAGTACCCGACGGCGCTCTGACACGATCACACTATGCAGGGCTACCCTGATGCATTTGCTGCGGGCATCCAAGGGACTGGCCGGGTGAAGATTGATTCGACCTAAGCCATGGGCAAATCCCAATGCTTGTCCAGGATCCACTGGTACGGCATGGCTCCACTCAGTGGAGGCTTCGGCTGTGAGTTCGGCAACCCGATCACTGACCGGACCGAGGCTGCGTGCGGCTCTGGTATTGTTATCTGGTCAGAATCGGTCACATTACAGCTTCAGATGACTTCTGGAACTTCTCGCGATCCTCCTGGTTGTTCGATGGGCTGACTGGGAGGGATTTGATACCAGGTAAAGATGAAGCCCGATAACCGAACCCACGCGAGGCATTCCCACCCTCGCTTGCAGATCACTATGCCTGTTCTAGTTGTGCTCCCGGTCGTCTGCATAACATCTGCACTAAGCAAATCCCGAAAGACGATACAGCACCATCACGAGCACAAGCACACAATTGGGGCGGGTGTACCTGGCGAACCATTGGTGATTTCAGATAAGCTTTGTTGTCATTGCCGCGCCCTTTGACGTGTGACAGCGCCATCTGGTTGGACATCCGGCTCGGTCGGAATCCTCGATAGATTTTATGTTGATCTTCTGGAGCATAAGTCTTCAGTGAGCACTACTCCCTCCGTATGCTGGGTCGTGTGGAAAATAATTCCGCCCGCTGGTGGGGTCTGTTGAAGCACTGCCAGCTGCCTCCTTTTACATGTAGCCGTCTGCTGCGATAGCCAGAGCAAGTCTCATACGTGGCGCGATATCTGGAATACCTCAGGGACTGCAACGCATTTCGCATTCATTGACACTAACTACAGCTTCGACTTGACTCGTACTAACCCCAGTCCCAATAATGGCATAATACTAATTATTTGGGCCACCTGAGTTTCCGTTCATTAGCACAACGGCGCTTGGCGAAGAGACACTTAACCCACCCAATGCCACTTCATTCCTAGACGCTGGAAATATGTAAAAAGTGCACCACGAGGCACATAGCCAGAATATGTCGTTTGCCATCTCGCCGCAAAAGACCCTGCAATTGGTCCCAACTCCCCGAATCCCAAGGCTTCGAGCACCCACGGTGCTAAAATGGCCAGCACCCCGAAGGCAAGAAGCATTGCAATTACTGGGTGCTCCTTGGCAAATTCCACTGCGGCTTCTTTGGCCTTCATCAGAGCGTCGGCGGCAGGGCCGGCCATTTCCGCTCCAGCTTTGATAGCGTCGTTGAGGCCGTGGAGGATAGCTTGGGCGATGGACTCGCTCCACCCGTTGGTATCGACTTGTTCTTTAAATCTTTTTTGAATGGCCTCGTGAGTTTCACCAGTCAGAAGGATGTTGACAATGTCGGACGCAACAGCGGAAGTGCGCGCATCGGTTTGGTGGACGTTGGCCGATGGTCCCCAGATGCATTCCACGATCGATTTGATGAGGTACATTTTTGGTGCAGAAGTAATCGGTTGATATGTGCTTTCAGTAACTGTTGATGGACTTCGAATAGTCCGGAAGCAATGGTGAACTTGCGGTCTTCTAGAGGTAGAGGAATTGGCTCTGCGGGTGAGAGACGGAAGTTTCAAAGATGATGAAATAATGATGTCCACTCACTGTTATTTATTATGCGCTGCGAGCAGTTGCCGCAGCCAAGGCACACTCCATGAACGCCCATGGATCCGATAAAATTGAGCGCGTCCAATGATGCCAATGTTGACCACAGCCTTGCAGCTTAGCTTCAGTTTCCATGCATACACGTCCAAGGTTGGTTGGTCGCTCTGGTATCGCCGATGTCGCTAGGCGCCGCACTGCTCTCCGCCAGGCATTCATTCCACGCCAACGATTTGGCGCCGAACGATAGCGCAGCTAATAATAGCTTGGTTCAGCCACAGGCATGCCCCTCTGCTACCAACATGACCTCCCTTTATGGCTCCGGTTTGCTCGGGTCTGGTGGAAATGTTGTTCCGAAAAGCAGTAGGCCAGGTGCTCATGGCCTCAGGACCTGGCGTACACGTGAGGCGCCCTCCTTGCCTGTAGCATCATTGTATTGCTCTACGCAGTGTATCGCGCATGTTAGCTACTGCGCCGCGTTAGCCCGGGCTTTCTCCAACCCAGTGTTCGTTCTCTTCGCAACAACCAGATGTAAGTCCTCACGCATAACGGTACAGCCAGATTCTCGGACCTGATCGTCAACACTAACGACGTTAGGGCGCTAATGGCTGTTGGCCGTTCTGAAACATGCCCTAAATGGGAACACTCCATTTAAGGATACACTAAGCAGTCAAATAGCATGTTCTACTTACGACAAGGAAAGCAGAATAGAGTACTCGTTCTCAACGGTCGGCGATAATGACGGTGACCCAACAGCCACCAGTCCAATGCCAACATCATGGGTTCCCCTACCATGATGGGAACTGCGGGGAACGAATAACAAGAAATCCTCAGCTATGCACAGATCGACAGCTGTTGCGTGGAATACACAAACCCCCTCACGAGTCTGACGCTACTTGTTGCGCGTATTTTTGTGGGCTCGTTATCCCATAGCCAATTGCGTGCTCGTTTAGGTGCTACATTCCAGAATGTGGGAAGTGATATCATGCCACCATATACCAAGAGTCGCTAGCCTTATGAGCAGAAACAGGTCCAGAGCCCCCTTCTGCGAAGTTTGTATGCCGACTACCCGTCAACACGCGCATATGAAGAAGACCTCCGAACGCCCCGAGCCTCTTGACACGGCCAGTAGATGATAAGCCTATGGATGATCCGTGCCCATTCTGTGATAAAGATGCTCCGTGACACGTCACGCAAAGATACTCCCGCAGCATACAACCCCAATGTGTACTACGTGCTCGGGTCATTTCCTGGCTCTTAACAACGGCTACGCACATTAGCAGGCACGCCCCGTTGCTTGGTCGTGCTTGAGTACCCTTTCCTATCCATCGCACTGACCTGCACCAGCTGCTTTAGTCCAAATAAGGGGCAAACGAGTGGGGAGGTGATCCGCGTGTTCTACTGATCATCTCCACAACTACAACACCAGGTATGCATCCCTTGATTGATCCACAACCACCTGGTCTTTAAAACCAACCGATGGACTGAGACATCCATCGTGAGCGGTTGATATTCTCACCATGGGCGAATTCGGCATTGAAGAGCTTTCTGATCTCAACGTCCTTGCTGCCGAGCATGGACTAGAACTGACCCCAGATGGGTGTCACTTGCGCTGGGCTCGAACAAATCCCAAGCATCCGCGGAACTGGCACCCAGTGCGCAAATCCTACGATATTGTTGTGATCTCGCTTTTGGAATTCTTCACGTGAGGTTATCTTGGGACTTCTGCGATATGTTGCTGACATCAACTGTCCAGGACATGTCTCAGTACCTCAGGAGTGAGTAGTGCTTTCCGCACATATGCACAATGTCTCACATTTGACAGGCCACAACCGCCACGGCCGCACAGGCCGAGTTCGGGACGTCAAAGACATTGACATTGTTTCTCTATGTTTCAACGTGCGCTACCACTACTTTTCCTATCACCGGGCAATAGACATTAATTGCTATAGTTATCTCCTAGGACAAGGTCTGGGGGGGATTGTATTTCCCCCTTACTCGGAATCCTTCGGTCGAAAGAAGCTCTATATTTTTAGCGCATCTTTATACAGCGTATTCTGCCTCATCATCGCGGCGGTCCCGTCAATTCCCTCCCTGGTCGTCGGACGTTTCATTACCGGCTTCCTGTCAGCCATCCCTACCGTTGTGATTACCGGAAGTATCGAAGACATGTTCAACACGCATGATAGGATCTTTGTCATGTTAGTCTACGTCTCGATGGCGTGTATGGGTGTTAGCGCCGGGCCTATTATAAGCTCGTATATTTCGGTTCGCTTTGGATGGTGGGAGACTTCTAAGCCTTTTTGCCTTGCGATTGCTAACACTGGCGCAGGAGATGGGTGTTTTACGTTGGCGCTATTGTCTCCGCCTTCCTCGCCGCGCTTCTTTTATGCATTAAAGAATCTCGACCATCTCTCATTCTTATGCGGGAAGTCCAAACTCTGCGTAAGCTGACCGGGAACGATACGTTCAAGGCGCAAAACCCGGATTACATGCCGGACCTGCGCACCTTCCTCCATCTCGGCCTCTTGCGGCCTCTCCGTCTCTTCCTAACCGAGCCTATCGTCTTTATCGTGACAATGATATTCGGAGTCTGCGTGGCCTTGGTCTACCTCTTCACGGAAGCCCTTCCCCCAGTCTATGAGCAATTCGGCTTCAGCACGGAAGAAGCATCCCTCCCGTTTCTTGCCCTAGGACTCGGCGTTATCCCCAACGCTTTGACCCGCATCGTGGACTATCGCATAATCCGAAGACGCCAGAAGAAGTGCGGAGTCCTCAAGCCAGAACACAAGCTGACGGGGATCTACATCGGAGCACCTGTACTCGCAATCGCGCTCTGGTGGTTCGCCTGGACGATTCCTCCCCAAGTGACCAATGTCAACTGGTTTGTTTCCGTGGTGGCGCTCTTCTTCATCGGATACGCACTTAATGAGCTGGAGATCGTGGTGACGGCATATATGGCAGACAGCTATCTGAGCTACGCTGCTAGCGGCTTCGCTGCTCTCTCCATTATCCGATCCTTGCTTTCGGCTGCGTTTCCGCTGTTCGGGAGTAAGATGTTCGACGCACTGGGTGCTAACGTGGCCGTGTCGATCCTGGCCGTGCTAGCAACGATTTTCTGTATCGTGCCTCCACTTCTCAGTCGCTACGGAGAGCGGATGCGGATGCGGAGTGCGTTTGCCAAGTATAGTCTGCAAGTTTATGCGGAGAACGGGGTGGATCAAGACTTTCAGTAATTCTGTGCAGAGGCATGACACTTGACCCGAGTGTCTATTTGGTCTCTGTGCATGCTGATTACTACACTTAGTGCCAGATGGCGCTGAGAAAGAGGCGGGAATATATATCTAGTACTATTAATTGACACGGAAAGACTAAGACTCATGATTACGACTACTATTTATGGGGATACTATGCTTTGGGAGGCTGAGACACGCACAGTTAGAGTATATTTGTATCATGAAGCTGCTTTCAATGAAATAACTTGTTAATCATGATGATGTTTTCCGTCTTGTGCTTTGCATAGTGTAGGTAGCAGTAGCGGTACTACTAGTTACTAGTGGTGGAAGCGGTAAGTACCACCACAACCACCAAAATTAAAATATGTTCAACAACGCGAAGAAACTTCAATAACCACTTGTGCTTGATTGCACGCTGATCAATCATTGGTTCTAATCAGCCTAAGTTCTTAACCAAGATAGTACTAGTAAATAGTGTGGTACACCCTAAACAGAAAACGGAAGCCATCACACTTCTAAGGGGCTGATCCAAACCAGGAAAAACTATACATACATAAACCAGGGTATTAGTTAGTAACATACTCAGTAACTACATTGAAATTCAAACTTCATTCAAACTAAGTACCCTTGCCATATATTATTTTGTACCAATTTAAGATGTGCTTATTTTCTTTCTTTCATGCTAAGGTCTGAGTATATCTTCACTGTTCAGTGTTGTCTTTCGACTTCTCGCAGATGTTGCCCCGGGGCGTGGTAGATAGCGAGATTGGGATCAGGGTTTCTTCGCGACGAGTGCCACTATCTTATATTAGTAGTATATAATCAAGAAAATACCATTACATTAATGAGAAGATTGGTAATCACTGCGGAGAGGGATTGCATAATTGCTAATTACACTGAACGTAAATTGCATCTAAATATGAGTTGGTAGCTGATAGACAGCTACCAGATAACTATATATAACTATGTTACACAAATGCACGCCAAACTCCACTTTATGCGACAAAACCACTCTCCAATTCTTCTAATATATGTTCATCATCACTATATCCACGTCTATCCCATGATGCTATCCCAAATCCTCCGTACCCATCCCTCCTTGGGGTTGCTCGATTCCCAAGTGGTGTAGGGCGGACGTCCGGTGTCCAAATCGGCCTCGATGGGTCGCACAAACTTGGTGCGGTACCACGCCTTGTGGCCAATGTACAGAATGACAAACAGAACGGGGCAGATGTAGGCTACCCAAAAGTCCGACACGTTGAAGGTCGGGATCCAAGCGGTGAAACCCTGAGTGAAGATAATCAGGATGTTGAAGAACAGTCCGTACCAGGCCAACCAGGGCTGCCAGATGGCCTTGTAGGGAAGGGTGTCGCGGGAGAGACCGCGCGCCTTCATTGCCTTCATGAAGGCAATGTGACTAGCGTTGATGGACGTCCAGCAGATGAATCCGGCCACACTGGAGATGTTCACCAGCCAGTTGAAGACGGTCGTACCAGATTCCGAGACGTTCATGAAACCCAAAAGTCCAAAGAGAGCGGTGAATGCCACACTGACGTAGGGGACACCACGGCGAGTGACCCAACCGAAGATTGAGGGCGCGAAACCCTCCTGGGCCAGACCAAGCAGAACACGACTGCCACTGTAAACGTTGGAGTTGGCAGCGGACAAGACGACAGTGAGAAGAACAGCGTTGATCAAGCTGGGAAGGACCTTGACACCGGCCAAGTTTGCGGCAATGACCATGGGAGAGGCGGAAGCGTTTTCAGCTCCGCTGGCCAGGTCGGGGTTGGTGTAGGGCACGAGCAAGCCGATGAAGAAGATGGTCAGGACAAAGAAGACCAGAATACGGATGAAAGTCTTGCGGATGGCCGAGGGGACAGTCTTCTGGGGGTTCTCAGTCTCACCAGCGGCGACACCGACAAGCTCAGTGCCCTGGTAAGAGAAACCAGCTTGGATGAGCACAGCCCAGAAGCCGACAAACTTGCCAACGGACTCATTGGATGTGATCAGGTAGGGAGCGAAAGCACCCGGGTCGTGCCAGTACTTGAATCCAATGTAGCCCTGCTTGCCGACACCAGCATCAATGCAGATGGCGAAGATCATGAAGCCGAGAACGGTCAAGACCTTGGTGATAGAGAACCAGAACTCCAACTCGCCGTAGAAGCCGACGGGGAGGAAGTTGACGGCGGAGATAACGACCCAAAAGACACCGATGAAGATTGCAATGGACAGCTGATCGTTCCAGTACTGGATGATCATACCGGACGCGGTAAGTTCGACGGCGTAGGTAGAGGCCCAGTTAAACCAGTAGATCCAACCCATGGCGAAACCCAAGCTGGGATCGACGAGACGCGCGGCGTAGGAGGTGAAGGCACCGGGAATGGGAATATAGGTAGCCATCTCTCCCAACGAACACATGACCGAGTAGACGATAGAACCGACAAAGGCGTAGGCGATGAGGGAACCTGCCGGGCCAGCTTCTGCAAGGGCCGTTCCACTGCTGATGAAGAGACCTGTACCAATAGTACCACCTTCGAAGGGTTAGTGACGAGTTCACGGCAATGTCAATTATCGGATCCCAGTGTTTCCCACTCACCAATGGCGATCATCTGCAGGTGACGGTTCTTCAGGTTGCGCTTCAGCTTCGTTTCTTCCTCCTCATTGTCGCTTTCCACATCCTTGGTGAGGCCATTGCGCCGGCGCTCGCGCAGGCCGGAGGGGGTGAGGGAGCGATCGGAAGGGGATTGGGAGCCATTCTCCTCAGTGACGGCACTGTCGATGGGAAGCTTCCCTTGGGAAGCGACCTTGTTGTCCTCCATAACCGACAGGTGTTCAGGTGAGGTGGGGAAAGGTGTGAGAGGAGATCAGGAAGGCGAGAAGAGAGCGCGAGGCAGCGGAGAAGACAGCCTCAGCGCACGACAGCTGGGGAGGGAGTCGATGTGTCAGTCAACGTCAATGATGACCGGATTGAGTTTTGGGGAAGAGGAAAAACAGAAACAGAGACAACATGACAAACCTTTTCCATGTGGCCATCTTTGGGGGGGCGGCAAGATTTTCTCGTCTGGTTGTCTGGACCGAGTTTTTTCCCAGATCGGGGAGTTCGTTCCATAACGTCAGTCGCCGCGGACGAAAACTCTCCACTGTTTTGCCATGGCGTTACCTAATCACGGGCCAATCACGGGGGTGTCACGGGTTGCAAGCGGCCAGTAAGTGGATTCTAGCGGCCTTCTAGCCGGCGGGGTTACACTGGAGTGGATTCAGCCCGGTTAGCGACGGACAGGTACAATTGTAGTACACTTCAATGGAATATTCATCATTAGACATTAAACATACCACATATTACCATAAACACATTCCACTTCCTGGAGAATATCTAGACAGTAGCAGTTTGAGTACTCTAAGAAGGAGAGAAGATGAGAGGCAAAATTGCAGACGGAAGAAGAAAGCGGAGAAAATGAAGAGAAAAATCAGCTCCCGGCACTAGACTGTTTCGGGCACGGCAACCGCCTACCCGTCTGGGACGAGCATCACGTGTCTAGTGATAACTGACTCGAGTACTATTCAGTTTCACTTTCTCCCTTCATCCTTGATCCTTGCCTCTATACTGATCATGTTTCACCTCATACACAGTCGTTACTTGAATCCCATGAATGTTTCGCCCGCTCTCTTCTCCCGGTCGGTCTGACCCTCCCCGAACATCACTGACAAACTGAGATTGGCTATCTTCCAAGATAGACTCGGGTCCGGCTGGTCTCCGGTTCGCTGTTCCAGTCCCCGCTAACGGTCCCAACTTGTACCGCCCGGTTCCACTGGCCCCAGTCGATACTTCGCGCGACGAGGATGACCTCCGAAGCAGCGGCCAGATGCATGGAATGTTGACCGTGATGATGGCAATAACCTATAGGGTGGTCAGAACAATCGTGGGAGAAACCTGGGAGGGAACATACGCTCTCGCGTGTTGCCCAAAGGTTGCTGGTATTAACGGATTCAATGTGCCATAGCGAAAGGACGCAGCGGAACAACGCGGCAATCATCACAAACACGCCTCCGAAAAGCAGCAACCCAATCACCAGTTTCCTAGTAATGTGAGTGACTTGGGCTCTCACTATTGTATCTGAGGTGCACATACCGGCGCCAAGGGAGTTGTACTTGGATCAGTAACGGCAGAGGAATTGAGAGCAGCACGACGTCCGTCCTAGATGACGACACCATCCTTCATTAGCAGCGGCCAAGTTGCACCCTGTATTGCGACTCACATGATGTTAGTCACCAGAACGGCAATGTAGTTCGCCGAGCCTTGCGTACACGCCTCTCAAGACCCGTTAGCCTATCCCAAGACCATTCGCACTATTAACTTACTGCCAGGATTCGGATAGATCTGCCACAGCTTGCTGGCAGGGTGACAGTGTAGGTGGACAGTCAGGGTGGCGGCGACGTAGGTGCACAAACACAAACCTGCCGCGACCTTGACGAACCTTTGCTGAACGAGGCCAATTCTACCTAGTTTTAGGGCGATGCGATGATTTGATGTATATGAACGGGTCAACGTACGTCAGACGCTTATAGAAAAACAGCATGCAAGCCTTCAACACCCAAATAAGAGTGACGTAGGCAAACCAACTGACAAGAAGGCATTTTGATCCAAACTGTCGCTCATATATCTCCCACTCCTCCATGGATGCTCTCTGCTCGTCGCTGAGTCCGGCATTAGCGCCGAAGCGGACTATAAGGCAATAACCTGTCAGTTGGCGGTCAATCTTCGGGGAGAGACGAGCTTACACACGAATTTGAACATGACAACCTCCGTCTAGATAACACAGTATGTCAGCATTTACACCCTCGCCTTACTAGCGAACTTTATACTTACTACCCAAAGAACGAGAGCGACGATGCTAAGGTAATCATCTCCTTGCCATTTCCTGAACCCTACTGCTCTGGTTCGAGCGTAGAGTCGGAGCAGGATGACAAACATGCCAATGGCCATCTCCACCCATTCTTCGATTTCGAAGGGGAGTCTGCTCTCCTTGGTGGAGGAGCCATTTTCGATGTAGATCATGGTGTCAAGGCAATAAAACTGCTGGAAATGGGAAGCAATCTGTCATGCACCAGGTGTCAGGATCGCTTTGGTGATAGTATCAGCAGGATGCGTGATAGGAGTCATGTTGTGGTGATACTGCTCCTGCTAGAGGCTCGGGTTGCTTCACATGATGGGCAATTGAGTGAAGAGTCACGACATTCCAAATCGTGGTATTGCCCCAGCTTCACTGTACAATACGGAAGCTGATGACGACTCATCTGAGTCCTGGAATACATGCACTTTTCACATAGGATCACTTCAAGACTGTGATGCGTGCAATCCCGTGAACACTTTACATAATTAATCAGTCTACTATAGACCTACAAGCTGTGTGCTACTCAACCACTATGCATACCCTGATCCCAATCTCTTCTTTGCAAGCAAAATGCATGAATAGTCCACCAGTGTAACTGGCTGTAGCTTATCCAAGCTTGAATGGGCAGTCCGCTGAATATTGAAGAACACAGCGGTAAGTCAACAAGAACATGAACTTGATTGTGAATCTTGATCCAAGACATTGAATACCACATTCCATCATCATGCAACTCAAAGTTCTAAACCAAGCAAGGCTGGGTTGTGTAGCAGCACCCTTGCGCCATTGGCTGCTGGCTGGTGAGACATGCATCGGAACTAAAGTTCGGTTCCCCGCAAGATCCAGTCCGCTTAGATGTTGTTGGCTTTGTCTGCTACCCGGCCAACCCGATCAGCCGGACCAGGGATCGATTGTTCCCAAGATTGAGTCTATTGATAATCTTTCTCCTGAACTATGCTTTTGTCCTACTTTTGTACTATTATGGAGTCTAGAATATACCCTCCTTTCTCTGCAAAGCTAATAATCATTCATAACTGGATATAGCCAATGCCATTACTTTTTATCCCTACTACTTATACATTACAATCCACTCAAATCATCTGCAAGTGAATCAATACAGTCCCTCCTGCATCAACCACATCCATCCATTACATCTCAGAACCAAATCCAAATCCAATCAACTCGCCACTGATGATCAGCGGGGCCGCAAATGATCTCAAAATAGCTCCCCCCTCTAGATACACCTGCATATAAATATCTTGCTCCCTCCCTTCCCCTCTATCTTCAACATATACCCAAATACTAATATATCATCACCCAGAGTCAACTCCACTTTTCAATTCTCAATAAATCCACCAAAATGAAACTCCTCTCCCTTGCCACCACCCTCACCTCCCTCATCGCAACCGTCTCCGCCTCCCTACCATCCACATATACCCTCGTCGCAGACGGAGGTTGGACAGTCGTTACTGATGGAAGTATGCATACCACCTACATTACTACAAACCACATAACATACTAAGAATCTATCTGTAAAGCACACTTATACATCGGAACCGGCGACATAAAACACTACCCCATTCTCATCCGTACGCCTCTCCCATCCCTCATCCCCTTCCCCCAAGCACACACTAACCCTACACCCTATCTATAATACAGTAAAAGGCGGCTCCAACAACAGCATGATCACCGGCCACAAGCAATATGACACTACCACAGGCACACAACATCTCTACGTCAACGAGGACGAAACAGCACCGATTGCCCTGACGGAACCGAATGGCGCTGCTCCCGCCGGGGCAAGTGTGACTGGGTTCGATGTGGACGAGGGGAATTATCTGCTTCTTGATGGGGTGGATGCGTGGGGTGTGGAGCCGAGTGAGGGGCAGATTAGGAGGATTTATTGGCTTGGCGGTGAGGATGATGTTGGTGATAATGAGTATAAGGAGATTGGGCTGTGGGTTAAGGAGTGTAGGGGGTGTTAAGATTATTGAACTGGGGTGGGATGGGTGGTAATGTATGTATGTAATTTAAAATGAAATCAGACTCTCATGACTCGTGAACATCGTTTAGTAAACGTAGACAAAATCCTCGTTCTTCCCATCTGTCAAGTCCAATAGTCCATTTGCCCCGACGTGTCCCTCCTCGCCGTTTGCTTCCAATGTCTGCTCGATCGCCATCATCCGATCGCTTTGCATCGACACGTCCACTACCTTGGCTGGCTTGCCATTCCGTACGCGCCGCTTCTCTTGCATCTTGTTCAGTACCCATAGATCGACCCACTGGAGGAGGAACACTGCGATCAAGGCGACGAAGATCCCCACGCATGCCCGCAATCCGGGCTTGTATGCTGGCGCGTCTTTCTCGTTGAATAGCAGAGGACCGATGATGTTCCCTGCCGATACGGCAGCATTGTATAACGACATGTTGGCGGATTTCTTCGTCGTGCCGGCGGTGTTTGCGACAATCCAGCTGACGATTAGCGGGTTCCCGCCAAATAAGAAGGCAATGAGGTAGTATCCTGCCATCAGGGCACCGTTGCTGGAGTTGTTCCGTGGCACGGCATATAGGATAGCTAGTCCTGCTACCACGGGGAGCATTAGCGCCGCCAGGATGATGCCCTTTAGACGCGCCTTTTGGGCGAGGTAGCTGGCCAGTAGGATGACGATGACTTGCACGGCACCGAAGGGCATGTTCAGCAGCGTGGTGGTGTATGTGTCGTAGCCGAGGCCTTGGAGGATCAACGGCCCGAACACGTTTGACACGGAGGCGCCGATGTTGAGGAGGAGGGCCATACTGGCCCAGAGGTAGGTCTTTGGTTCGAGGGCTGCTTCGTAGACGTGGATCATCTTAAATTCGCGTGATCCCGCGCCTGTCTGGTTCGCTCGCAGACGTTCCATCGCCTGGAGCTTCTCTTCCTCGGTGAGGAAGCGCGCCGACGGGATGTCATTGTCGAGGCGCCAGTAGACGAATGGGCTGGAGATGACGGTGATGAGACCGACGACAAGGAAGATGCTAGTGAGGTCAGTTTGCGGATGATGATATGGTTGTTGGAAGAAGCTCACATTTGCCACTCTTTCATTACGCCCGACTTGATGTGTCCTAGGCCGAATGATAGCACCGCTGCGATGATGGTCGCCACGCCGTTGGTGCCGTACCAGGCGGCTACTCGGAGTGGTTGCTCAGCACGACGATACCACTGGCTGGTGAGGAGACTAAATAGTGGGAGGCAGCCGGCTTCGAACAAGCCGAGGAAGAAGCGGGTGGCCATTAGCCCGCCAAAGTTGCTGCATGCTGCCATGCAGGTCTGCGCGATGCCCCATCCAAGCACTAATGTAGGCATCAGGATGCGAGGCGGGACGGTCACGATCAGCCAGGAGGAGAAGGGCTGCCATGCGAGCTGCGCGATCGGGGCGATTGAACCGACCAGCGAATACTGGTTGCCGGTGAGGTGGGTGTCTTCTTCCAGGCCATATGTTGCGCCAAAGCCCAACACTGACTTGTCCAGGATCTGCAGGAAGTACACCCAGATCAATATCACCAGGATAGTTCGATCTGTTTTGCGGGCGATCCTCTTGCTGTCTTCCTCGGTCACTAGGACTGGCGTATGAGGAAGTCCATCGATAGTAGTTGGTTTAGCCACGTCCACGCCTTCATCGTGGATCGCAGCTGGCTTGTCAGGCTCCATGTCAGGAAGACGTTTAACTGTTGGTTTGAAGTGTTCAGAGCAGGTTAGCAAGGCAGCTCTTCGATATTATAACCCGTTGTCAACCGACACCCCCACGCTTTCCGCTCGGCCAACCCGCATGAGTTTTAAGCTTCAAGCTCGAGACTAACGGGGCAACACTAAAACACGGGGTAGCGGCCATCCCCCGCAATTGATCCCCGCAAAGTGACCCCCACGTTTGATGGGGATGGCACATGCCGAGGACTGCATTCAAAATCCTGGGCCGGGGAGGACAACATGCCATCACCGCAAAGCCGTGCCGGTCAAGGTTTAGAGGTTAACTATGACTGGCGGTCATCTGTCCATGGCGTAACTCAAAAGTGAGGCGACGCGCCGGCTGCGAGTTGTAACTGGCCAGTCAATACCCGATCCCTGCACGCAGATTAGCCGGATTGCCTTGATGTGTTGACATCATCCCGCTATCGCGCCGTGGAAGTCGTCTACCGGATACGAATCGGGTTGAACCGCTCCCAGAAGCTGAGGAGCCAAAAGCGGCCAGCTCAGCTTTGGCTACAGCTCTCGTGGGGGTTAGATAAGACCAGATACTAAGCTAGGAGAGTCGCCACACATGAGATACTGCTCATGACGTCGCAGCATTTCCCGTATCTCATACAAGCCCCCTTCTCCAACTGCGTTGATAAGGTCCTCATTGGCATACTCTAGCCGATATTCTGTAGCTTCCTCTCCGCCTATTCGCCATTCAGGAAGCTTGCTGAAACGTCGGATGCCATGCACTACCGCTTCCACCGTCCGTGCGTCCCAGATCCCATCACGATGTGGCAGCTTCTCGTGTCGCAAAAGTGAGAGTGCCGTGTCTACTATATTGGGATGATTGCTTTTCATACAGATATAGTAAAGCGTTGCGACAAGCTGGGTACTCAAGGTGAATGATCTCTGCGCAGTGGCGCCCTGTGTGGAGGAATAACCCGACATACTTTCCAAAATGGCCGATATATCTTGCAAGCATTTCCGCAGTGAGTCACTGTCTGTAAATTGCAGGGAGGGAACATCCTCGGCCACGATAGTGAGGAATATCCGAGCTTGCAGTCGAAGGAGCAGACAATGTGCCGTGCTCGGGCCAGAAAGGTGGGTCGAGTACGCGCTCACAGTCTTTAGATATCTCTTCAATTGGTCATATAAGTGATGTCGTTCGAGAAGGATGTCTGCTGGTAGAAGCTGCAAACCTTTCTTCTTATATGGGTAGGAAGACGCAAGATGGTGCAACATCCAATTCTGCAACTTGGTGAGTGCCATTTGTGCATCAGCCAGGGTGGAACTGTCTAGGATGAGCGGGACAAGCCCAGACTGTTCTAATGGCGAGATCAGAGACAATATGGGCCGCCGACTGGGATTGTATGTGCTTGCCTGAATGTCCAGGCTGGCGAACAAGACTGTTAAACGTGGAAGAATGGCATCTGTGGCGTTCTGCACGGGCGCGGTAGCCAGACTCCGTTCCAGCAGGATCAGCCCCTGATCGAGGTGTCGAATCGCCTGTACAGCATTGCCTAGAAGAGCCTCAAAGGTGTAAAACACCACGCTGCAGATCAAAGCAACTTCGATTGATGCGTCCGGCGAGCAGAGATGCATCCTTAGCTGTTTATGGGATCTGGCGATTAGTTGCAGATGCTGCAGCGATGGACGGTCGGACTCTGGCCTGACATCATCTTTGGACTTATAGTCCCGATAAATTGCACTGAGTGTGACAAGTGCGTTGCGAATCACGGGCTGATGGTGGCATTGCTGCAAAATGAGTCGACTCCAGAAGTCCGCGTCGGAGAAACTCGAAAGACTCGAAGCGGCCTCGACACAGTAGAAATGGAGGAGCTGGCGATCCAATCTACTGCCTGGAACTTTGAATGGAATATTGTATGCTTTGATTGTGGCCACAACATTGGTGGTTTCAAGCGATGTGTATCCCCCACATGTGCGATTTGATCGCATGCACCGTATGCAATGAGGTCTGGTTTCGTCGCATTTGACGCGACGGGTTCTGATTGGTTAGACACATGTTTGATGCAAATTCTGTGTACTTACTTGCAGGTAATACATCCCGTGCGGGACTTTGGGGCGCTTTTTCTGGTCACTTTCATGGTGGTCGAGGATTCGTGTTCTGTTCAGGCTCGATGGAGTGCGAGATGGCATCCCGGACAGAGTCAGCACTAACCAGACTGGGAAGGTGAAATTGTTGCCTGAAGGCATCCTCTCATTCACAGTTAGTCTCTTCACTTGTTTTCATATATTAAACCTATAATTTGTCATTCACATATTCATATGGTCCGGAATTCCAGTGGTGTACAAGTTATTCACTGTCCCCAAATATGGAAGTGTATCATATAACGATACCCTATCCCGTTTGCACCTTCCATCATGGCAAACTGACAGATCCTCCCCATCGAGAAAGAATCACTCGAATATCACGTCCAAAAAAAGTTCGTTCACAACACAGCATCGATTGATTTATTTTTTCTCGTACTTACGGCACGACTGTCAACATGCCTCCCTTCCCATTATTATTCCATTCCCCTAACAATTGGACATCGAACCAACTTGCGGATTTGAGACTAGTACGGCATTTTAACGCCTCTCTCGACGAAATACTTGGAGATGATCATCTTCCCAAGGATGGAGATGAAGGTTGGTCTTGTACACTTTCGTTCATAGTTATCTTGGGGGATGCTCACATATGGCAGAATTCGAATCCCTCGCCATGGAATTTGCCGAACCGACAGAAAACGAGGTAAAGAATCTTTGGCGAACAGCAACACGTGCCCGATACAGGCGCAACGTTTTCCTGCCGGTTTTTAGACCTCTGTGCGAGATGCTCAATTCCGATGTTTTCTTCGACGCATCCAAGCAAGCCGTATTTAGCTTCATGGAGATCATCTTGCGCCGCGTGCACCTAGACAAACCTCTGTAAGTAACTGGTTACCCTCGCCTCCACCGGGTGAAACTAAGATGATCAAGGCAATCTTCACGTATCCATACCATGAGCTTTGAAGTCACAGGCATCCGAGGCGAAGTCGAGTGTGAAGGGGTGCTACTCGATAGTTCTATGCCACATTCTCCATTGGTAGTATTTTCGGTCAGTCTCGCCCCGTCCTAAGCGTGCAACATGCACTGACACGTCTTGACAGGTTGCCAAGGATGGCGACTACAATTTTAAAGGCCAAGTAGCACAGCTATTACTGCAAAAGGCGGTGGCATACCAAAGGAACCTGTCTCGTAGAGCCTTTGTTATCTTTATGGATAGCACGAATTTTCAGCTCACTATGGCAGACCCACCCCGCGAATACTTAGATGCTCTCTTGCATGGAGAGCGCCCAGAGAAGCGCTTCCATCTATATCACTCAGAGTTCTACAACCTTTGCAATCGCCGTCGACGGAAGGAGGCATTGAGAGTCATGCTCGGTCTTGTCAGGCTGATTGATGCAGATGGCCTCACAAGGGGGTTGCCTTGAGCTTTTCCCTCCTTAGTCTCGATGCGGAAGATAGTAGTTGCTTTTTCCAGTCTGAAGTAGTGTGTCTAGGAATCTACCTTTTGCTGGATCATATAATCCCACACTTTCTGGCGTATTTCCCCTATAGGAGACTAACCCGACCGCTATCAGCTACCTATCTAGATAATCTATGCCCGCCCAGGGTCGGAGGTTTGCTTCTATACTCAAAAGATGACTCTCAGAAATGTGTCTGCGTAATACCGGTCTAGTTGCACCCAACAAGATACACCAATTCCTTATACTGTTCGAGAAGACGCCAATCCTTATTCGTATTGAACAGCATAGACGCCGGTCACGATGACAAGAGGATACCACTATCCGATGGGGACACAAAGCAAAATTGGCAAGGTTTAGTGTGGAATACCGCATGTGGAGAATATCAAGCGGAGAAATTCAAAGTACTAATGCGTCCAACATTGTTTGGTATGCGGAAACTCGGCAATGAGTGTGCAGGCATCATGTCCCAAATTTGCCCGGTGGCGCTAAATCCTGCCATCGACAGCACTCTGACTCGCATGGTAAGGTTCTTCTAATGTGACATAATATGACCGACAGGCTAAATAAGTTAGCTTCCATAACCCCGCAATTATGGCTTTCTTTCTACCTTTCTGGTCTCCTTTAGTCTTACCAAACGATCCTCGAGCAGAATTCTCAACTTCTCTTTCAACCGAACCTTTATGTGTACCATGCGTCCCAAATCAAACTACTCAACCCCAAAATGGTGGAAAGAGGCAGTGGTGTATCAAGTGTACCCTGCAAGCTTCAACTGTGGTAAACCTACAAGCAAAACCAATGGATGGGGTGACGTGACCGGTATTATTGATAAGGTGCCTTATTTGAAGGGCTTGGGTGTTGATATTGTATGGCTTAGTCCGAGTGAGTTGGATCAGTTCTGTCTTGAGCGCAGCTATCATCATAAGAACAAATGCCTGACATTTTCTCATACAGTCTATACGTCCCCACATGTCGACATGGGCTACGATATCGCAGACTACAAATCCATCGATCCGCGGTATGGTACCTTATCAGACGTTGACTTATTGATAAAAGCGTTGAGGGATCATGATATGAAACTCATGATGGATCTTGTGGTCAATCATACATCCGATCAGCACTCCTGGTTTGTCGAGTCTGCGAGCTCCAAAGATTCCCCTAAGCGTGATTGGTATATTTGGAGGCCGGCCAAGGGATCCGACGATGACGGGAACCCAATCCCTCCGAACAACTGGGCGCAAATTCTAGGCGATGCACTCAGTGCTTGGACTTGGCATGAGGAAACTCAGGAGTTCTACCTGACTTTGCATACATCGGCGCAAGTCGAGCTCAATTGGGAGAATCCAGAAGTTGTTGCAGCGGTGTATGATGTGAGTCCCGCTGGTGGCCAGGGCACGACTCATCTTCAAGACCTGCGCCTTTGAGCGAGTGCTGTTACTTATCGGTAATACAGGTTATGGAGTTTTGGCTGCGTCGTGGGGTTTGTGGGTTCCGCATGGATGTCATCAACCTCATCTCAAAGGACCAGTCTTTCCCAGACGCCCCAATTATCGATCCTTCCTCCAAATACCAGCCTGGCGAGCAGTTCTACACAAACGGGCCACGCTTCCACGAATTTATGCACGGCATCTACGACAATGTATTATCCAAGTACGACACCATCACTGTGGGAGAAACGCCTTACGTCACCGACATCGAGGAAATCATCAAGACGGTTGGCTCCACAGCAAGAGAGCTTAATATGGCGTTCAACTTTGATCACATGGAAATTGAAGATATAAAAACCAAGGGAGAATCCAAGTGGAGCTTGCGCGACTGGAAGTTGACCGAGTTGAAAGGCATTTTGTCCGGATGGCAGAAACGAATGAAAGAGTGGGACGGCTGGAACGCCCTCTTCCTGGAATGTCACGATCAGGCGCGGTCAGTGTCCCGCTACACCAATGATTCAGATGAGTTCAGAGAGCGTGGAGCCAAGCTCTTAGCGCTTCTGGAGACAACGCTAGGTGGGACCATTTTCCTTTATCAGGGCCAGGAGATCGGTATGCGCAATTTTCCCCTCGAGTGGGATCCAGACACCGAGTACAAGGACGTTGAGTCGGTCAACTTCTGGAACAAATCCAAAGAGCTCCACCCTGCTGGGACCGAAGGCCTGGCTAAGGCTAGGACGCTCTTGCAGAAAAAGGCGAGAGACCACGCCCGCACCCCGATGCAATGGAGTGCTGCCCCGCATGCAGGCTTCACAGTCCCTGATGCGACGCCTTGGATGAGGGTAAATGACGATTATAGGACTGTCAATGTGGAAACGCAGATGTCTTTTCCTTCGCCGAGCAAAGGTGACCTATCCGTTTGGCAATACTGGCAGCAGGCGATACAGCATCGAAAGCTATACAAGGATACGTTCGTTTACGGCGGCTTTGAAGATCTGGACTATCATAACGAAAAGGTCTTCGCGTACTTGAGAACTAGTGCAGATGGAAAAGAGAGCTGGCTTGTTGCCTTGAACTGGACAACGTCTGCAGTCGAATGGACGGTTCCTTCCGACATCCACGTCACACGCTGGGTCTCATCAACGCTCCAGACTGCCCCGCCCGTGGCAAGCAAGAATTCCATCACGCTCCGCGCCTTTGAAGGGGTTCTTGGGTGTTGTAATTAGCATGTTGCATGGTATCACTGCTAAAGTGTTGCGTTGTGTCGAGATCTCCAGATGTGTTAGTGGGACCCACAAATTACGGTTTCACACTAGTCCAATTTAGCAGAGTAATAGCCGCGCTTCAGAGTAAATTGTACTGACCGGTAGAGCTCTGTTCCGTGTTTTACAGTTTCTGTAAAGATATGTAATAATACAGAAGCGAGCGTAAGGCACCACCCTGTGATGAGGCTGATTACCCCTCATCCCGTGTCAACCTGTTGAAAGAATGCCTCTCCAGGACATATTGATCCAGCAAACAGTGCCAAGTTCTCCTTCCCTTCTTAGACGATGGCCTCCCTGACGTTCGATCATTACCAAATCGCGTGGGTGTGCGCCTTGCCGTTGGAGGCCGCAGCGGCAAGCGTCATGCTAGATAAAATCCACCGTTCTCTACACCCGCCATCTACAGATCCAAACGCCTATGTCCTTGGTGAACTGAACGGCCATTTTATTGCCATCGCCTGCTTACCTACCGGTGTATATGGGACCATATCTGCAGCGACTGTCATGGCTCACATGCGCTCCACATTTCCACGGATCCAGTTTGCGCTTATGGTGGGAATTGGCGGGGGAGTTCCAAGTACCCACGATGATATCCGACTTGGAGATGTGGTGGTTAGCAAGCCAGGAGTAATGCACAGTGGGGTGATTCAATATGACTACGGCAAGACTGTGCAAGGTGGAAAGCTTGAGCCAATCGGAATGTTAAACCAACCGCCGCAGACTCTTTTGACCCATATGGCCCGACTACAAGTCCTTCAGATGATACAGAACGACAACACAATTGCGAACATTGTAGCAGATATATTAGCCCGATACCCGGATATGAAAGAACGATTTGCACCCCCTAGCCAGGACACAGACAAACTTTTCTCTACCTCCTACCAACACCCCCTCGGCGAAAGGAACTGCGATAACTGTGACAAAGAGCGATTAGTCGCCAGAAAGCCGCGTGATCAAGCACCTCAAATCCACTATGGCCTCATTGCTTCTGGAAACCAGGTCATGAAAGATTCCGAAACACGTGACCGTCTTGCTCAACAGCTTGGAGTACTGTGCTTCGAAATGGAGGCTGCGGGTCTGATGAATCAGCTCCCCACCCTCGTGATCCGTGGCATTTGCGACTACTGTGACTCCCATAAGCACAAAGGCTGGCAGGGATATGCAGCTTTGACAGCAGCTGCTTATACAAAGTGTTTGCTGTGCAGTATACCTGCCAGCACAAGCCCAGACCACTCGGCCACCGGAATAGGGTATTGGACAGTTCCACTGGCAAGAAATCATCGATTTGTTGGCCGCCACGATGAGATTACGAGACTGGAAGAAATTATCCTTGGAAAAGATATGCCTCATCAAATTGCAATTACTGGCCTGGGAGGGGTGGGGAAGACACAAGTGGCCTTGGAGCTGGCACACCGCGTAAAAGACCGGGATAGGGCGTGCTCTATATTCTGGATCCCATGCACCAGCCATGGCGTGATTGACCAGGCATATATGAAGATTGCACAGACAATGGGGCTCCACGAAGTAAGACCTGCTGAAGTCAAAGAACAGGTCAAAGCATATCTTAGCACCAACCATGTTGGAAAGTGGCTAATGATCTTTGATAATGCAGACGATAGAGATATGTGGTTAAAGACTGATAGCTCACACTCTCGTCTTGCAGACGTTCTGCCCCAGAGCGAAAATGGCCGTATTCTGTTCACAACCCGGAACCGAAAGTTCGCAGTGGAGATGTTATCTGCTGACATCATTTCCATACCTGATATGGATAAAGAAACCGCGTATAAAATTCTGGAAAGGTCCTTGGTCGACCAAAGTTTACTCAGAGATCATGAGATGGCAATGTCCCTCCTTGAGCATCTGGCCTTCCTTCCCTTGGCCATAACCCAAGCATCAGCATACATTAATAAGAATGGACTGGATCTGTCCACATATCTCGGGCTACTGCAGGAAAAAGAGCCCGATATTGTGGAACTCCTAAGTGAGGATTTCAGGGATCCCGGACGCTATGACGATATCCAGAACCCTATAATCATTACATGGCTAATATCATTCAAGCAAATTCAGCGTCAGGATCAACTGGCGGCCGACTATCTATCGTTCATGGCGTGTATCAATCCGCGGAATATCCCTTATTCTCTCCTTCCTGCTTCAACATCCAAGAAACGCCAGGTCGATGCCCTGGGGCTTCTGAGTGCATATTCATTCACTAATGTACATGATTTGGATCTAAGCCTGCACAGGCTTGTACATATTGCTACACGGACCTGGCTGAGACAACGTTCGGTCTTTACCCACTGGGTCTCCAGAACGGCTGATCAAATCGCTAAGGTGTTCCCGAATAACAACGACACTAATAGAGAAATTTGGCGACAATATCTTCCCCATGCCCTATCACTTGTGCGTGAGGATGACTTTCGACAGCTGCGGAAAGACTATGCGAACTTACTCGAAAAAATTGCAACCTGCCTTTACAGCGATGGCATTTATCAGGAAGCAGAACTACTTCTCACCGACTTGGTAAACATAAGAGCCGAGAAAGACGGACCCAATCATCCTGATACCCTAAGCAGTATGGCAAACCTCGCATCAACATATCGAAAAGGAGGCCGATGGACCGAAGCTGAGACCCTTGAGGTACAATTACTGGGGATATACAAGTCTATGTTTGGGATTGAACACCCCGATACCCTGATCAGCATGGCAAATCTTGCATCAACTTACCAAAACCAAGGAAGATGGACTGAAGCTGAAGCATTACAAGTACAAGTCCTGGAAATAAGAAAGCGAGTACTAGGGTTTCAACATCCCAAGACCCTGATCAGTACAGGAAACCTTGCATTAACCTACCAGAATCGCGGACAGTGGACGAAAGCGGAGACACTACAGGTGCAAGTATTAGAGATGTGCAAAACAGTATTCGGGGCTAGACATCCTGATACCCTGATCAGTATGGCGAACCTTGCATCAACCTACTGGAGTCAGAAGCGATGGGCTGAAGCTGAAGCATTACAAGTACACGTGTTAGAGACATGCAAGACTGTCCTTGGAGTGGAACATCCCAATACTTTGATAAGTATGGCAAATCTCGCATCAACCTACTGGAACCAAGGGCGATGGGTTGAAGCTGAAGTACTCCTAGTACAGGTATTAAAGATGTGTAAGACTGTACTTGGACCTGTACATCCTGATACTTTGGCTAGCAAGGCAAACCTTGCATCAATCTACCGGATTCAAGGACGATTGGCTGAAGCTGAAGCATTATAGATGTACTAAGAATCACCAATATAGTGCTGAAACCTAAAACATCGTAATATTCCATTTCATCCCTGCTATACGCAGGAAGGGTTTGATACCTCTGATTGCCATAAAGATCTCAATATCTGGATTGGTGCTAATGCAAACAAAGGCCTAAGGCGTGAACTCTACGCGTCTTTAACATTTGAACTCACCTACAGAAACGAGCTGAAATCGACGGGGTGCCAAGATGAAGTGGAAGTAGATTAACTTATAGGTCTTAGATGGGCTCGCTTGACTCTTGACGCGAGGGCTTCTTCAATCATCATCAGAGCTGAAATCTCTTCGCAATGGTAGATGTTGATACATGCTCGTTGAACTTGTCCAGCAAGAAATTCTAACTTCAAAGGAGATATGGCCTGGGCCTTACTTGTAGGTTGTTGAGCAGTGCTTCCACCATATTCGGGTCATGCATTGTTCTCATCCATTTCTTACCAATGAAAAGGACTGGGCAGCGTTCGAGCGGATTCCTATGATGGCACCCTCTCTGCAGCCGGCATTTCCAGCCACTTGAGAGGTCGTAAGACCATCGCTGCATACCAGATCAAAGATCAATCGACTTCTGGATTGGGGTGAGTTCGACGCTACCTTTTGCAGAAGTGAACCTGTCTGTTGCCCCGGAAGTTGAAGGTAGGGAAATGAGAGTAATCTAAGTACTTCCATTTGTGGCCGGCTAACTTACAGGACCGTTCACATGTACCATAAATTACATATTTTGGCCACGTAATATCGGATAATTCCTAGAATAGATTCAATGAGTCTTGGCACTAAGGTTAGGTAACGATGACAGTTTCCCAGACCTGCTTTATAGGATCAACGCGCAGCGATGAGTCCCTGAGTCACTAATATAGTAATCAAAAATGAGCAAGCACTAAAGATTTGTAATTGTGCCCTGCAGTTCATACTTTTTTGCCGAAGATTATTATGTAGATTACCATTAACTTGATACTGCGTTTCTTGTTGTCAATACACAGCTCTAGTATTAATATTACCGTCTTGTTACCCTCCATTACAAGAAATATTTTCTAGCGGATTAGGCTTTCTGGTATATTGATGGGTCCTGGCACGCTGCATTTGCATCTGCAGCTGAGACAACACATTACATCAACGCCACAGCCCCTCATCGCCAGCCCTATAAATCACGCAACGGCCGGGCTTAGACCCCATTGACTAAATCCTGTCCATACGCACCATCAGAACCAGCTATTCCACTGTCATTTTACACATTAAGCGACCACTACGATGGAACCTTCAACAGAAAAGAACCTTGCTTTAATCGAAACTGCCAAGTCCCTAGCGAACACGCCTTGGTGCGAGCAATATGAACGTATGATATCAGGAATGCTGTAAGCCTCAAGCAACAATACCTGTAAACACAGTGCCCCAGGATCTAATTCACATATTAGATACGACCCCCTCGCCCCAGAACTCATGCAAAGCCGTTACCGAGCCCGCCAGTTAATGTCAAAATACAATGCACCGATACCCGATGACATATCATTCGAAGATCTCACACAACAGCGCGAGAATCTGCGAAAGCAACTTCTGGGGTCCGTTGGAAACGGCGCATTTATTGAGCCTCCACTGATGGTCGATTACGGGTGCAATATCAAGATTGGCGAGGGCTTTTATGCTAATTTCAGGTATGCTATCTCGACCTCATTTTTCACCTCATTCACTGACCCTTGAGGCAATACAATCCTCGACTGCTCCCTCATCATCATCGGCGATCGTGTGGCCTTCGGCCCTAATGTGAGCATCCTGGCTGCGACGCATGAGACCAGTGTTGAGTCTCGGAGAAACGGAGTCGAATTTGCGAAAGAGGTCATAATAGGCGACGACTGCTGGATTGGAGCCGGGGTTTCCATTTTGGCGGGTGTTCATATCGGAAAAGGTTGTACGATCGGGGCTGGGGCTGTTGTCACGAAACATATTCCTCCTTTTAGTGTTGCTGTGGGATCCCCGGCTCGGGTTGTTAAGCAAGTGGAGCCTGTGGAATAGAAGGATTCAGGATTGAGTTTCTTGGTAGTATCTAGCAGAATTTGTGTAAGGTTTTATCTCAGTCATCGGTATATATTTCTCTCCACTCCCCTTTTATTTCGAAAAGTTCTGTTTCAGAGGATGTTACTGATGGTTATATTGAGCCTGGTGATCAACGAAGTATTTGTTCATTTGAGGTGTATGGACTAGTAATAATTACAATAAAAGTGATGGCGAGAAAGAGGGCAGAAAATAACAAATGTCGCATACATCGACGAATCGAAAAGAAGAGATACAAAGCCGTAACCACGGATTGGTAAATGATAAAGACTATCCCAAGGTCACATCCGCGCGAATGCATCAACCCTGTGGTCCCAGGTAACATGATCTCCTAATACGCGCATTGACCTTGTTTTCAAACCTCAGTATGCCACAAGGGTGGCAAACCAATCCTCAAAAAGCTTGACCTTCTTGCTCCAGGCAATCGGAATCTGACCCCATCCATCGCCGACATGCTGCACCAGCTTGGAGGTGTTCACTGCGGGCCACTCGGTAGCACCTTCGGCCTGAGTGTTGGGGTTTCTGGTCTTGATGAAGCTGGCCCAGTAGTCGTTCTAATTTTTGGCGATGGCGTAATCCTCGGCAGTCCAGGGCTTGTCGGTGGCATAAAGATTGTTCAATACATAGTTGATTTCCGACTCGTGATAAGCGCCAGAGCTCTGGCCAGGGGGAGCGTGGTCCCAGAAGTAGTTCCAAACCGCGCTGCTCTTCTTGGTGTACCACATCTGGGTCCAGAGCCAGGTGCCCACCTTGGAGCGGTCGGTGAACATAGAGTTGTATGCGCTTGAAGCGGTCGTCGAGTCATTGGCCGGATAGAGATCAAAGAACCGCTCAACCCACTCCCCACTGTAAGTTTCGTTGAGATCCTCAAGGTACTCCGCGAGCGAGATGTCGAGGCCGTAGGTAGCGCCATTCTCGTCCTTGTTGTTGCCGGTGATGACGGGGACGTCGTGGGCAAGGCCCTTCTTCAAGATGTTGAGGTAGGTATCGGGCATGGCGTAATAATCAAGGACTGCCTCGAACATGATGGTATCTTCGAGAGTGGACCCAGTCGCTCCGTCAATCAATGCCTCCATGCTGAGGTTGCGGGCTTCGGCAATACTGGACACTCCCAGATTCGAGAGGTAGGTATTGCCATCATCCAGCGCATCTTCCAGCGTAGTATAAGCCTCGGCAAGGCTAGTGCAAAGGGGGTCATGGGGGTCACGGACACCACTCTCAATGATGGCACCAACAATCAGCCCCTTGGTCAAGTTGCTGTAGAGTATATGCTGGGTGGCCGCAGAGCCTGCCGATTGACCCTGGACTGTGATCTGGTTCGGATCACCACCGAAGGCCTCGATGTTGGCATGAATCCATTTCAAAGCAGCGAACTGATCTAGCATTCCCCAATTACCTGAGCTGTTGGACCCAGTCACCTTCTCAAATTCTTCCGAGAGCTCAGAGTGGGCAAGCCATCCAAAAGGCCCAGTCCGGTAGTTGTAATTGACAAAGACAATCCCCTTGTCAGCCATACCACCGCCGTCGAAGAGAGGATCTGCCGCAGTTGACTCGGCGGGAGAACTCCACATGACCACAGGCAGCTTGGCATCGGTAGAGTTTGCTGGACTCCAAATGTTTAAATTGAGGCAATCCTCGTTAATGGTGTAACTGTTGTCTCCGGTCGTAGCAGAAGGGCAGACAGGGCCCCAGTTGCGCGCGTCAAGCGTTCCGTTCCATGGACTTGCGGGTTGCGGTGCTTTCCAACGATTGGCACCTCCGGTGGTCGCAGCAAACGGAATGCCCTTCCACACAGTGATGTCTTTCCAGTGCGTCAGGTTGCCGGTATTGCTGCTGTTGAAAGCCGGATAACCCTGGACCGAGCCATATTTGGTCTCAATCTTGGTTTCGTAAAGCGCAGCGGAAGAAATGGATGCCAGGCCCAGAAGCGTGGGGAGAGTATTCTGGAGCATTGTCCAGAGACCGCAATAAGGGGGTACTGATAAACTGAATTGGAAGATAAATATGCTGTGTGATTCGAAGAATGAACCGGCCGTCACTTGGCTCTTATGGTCCTTTCGACTGCCCGTCTTGACCGCCGGCTTGCTCTGAGTTCTGAGCAATTGAGGCCTTCTTCACGCAGCTTTCTCCATGCAGCCCGTGCTGACGTATGCACTTTACCTGGGGAATAAGACTGAACCGGACTGTCAGTGTTCAAGGCTGAGAACATTCAAACCTTGGGTGAGACGGACGATCCCGCCCCGCTGCCCCGTAGCTGCTGCAGGAACGGAGATTGACCTTGGGCTAGGGCAGAGTACGGAGATATATGGAAGGGCGGGAGCTTACGCGGCGCTATTTACTGTGAATAAATGCGTAAAAGGCGCTAGTGTTATCAGTGGGACTCTGACCCTTCCAGCCCACTAGCATTGCAAGATAATTCTTTCCTGTTGCTGAATCACCGCATGGCATGACTGAAAGCAAGCAGCAGTGCCGGTGGGTTATCCGACAAATTGCTATTGATACACTCACGATCGTTGCTCATATGCCAAGTATGCACTTCGAAGACTTCATTCGGTCAGCCAGTCATGAGTATTGCACGCAGTCCTAAGGTCGGCGATGAATTCAATCTTACCCTCCGACCTCCGGACAGTCGTCACTCAGTGGGTCTGTGGCTCGCGGCCCGGGAAGCTTAATGGCAATAACGAAGTCCTTGGCAATTAAAGACCCGTGAAGCATACCATAGCGTGATTTTTCTTGTTGATGCGAGACGGCTCGACCGATCAATCTGCGACTGCATGTGTCATCTCCTATCGTTTGGAACTTACTTGTATTCATGCATACGCGTCCAATCTTCTAACGGTTTGTAAATTCACAGTTTAAAAGCGAAAGCCACCCGCAGTATATGATGAGCCTATCCAGAACCACATTCATTCTATCCTTTTCAATATGAGAAATATTCTCCCCTTAGCTGCGGCAGTCGGGGCTGCTCATGCCACCAGTCTCTCTGATATTTGCAACGATGCCTACATCAAGGCTGCGTTGCCTGCAGATGGCACCTTTCAGGGCATCTCCATGATTTCCAGCTCCGTCTCGACTACCATCCATTCGAATGTGTCCATCAGCAGCTCCAATTTCTATCCGGCTGCTACCATCAGCTACTGCGATGTCACCTTCAACTACACCCACACTGGTCGGAATGACCGAGTGGCCCTCACTTACTGGCTGCCCGCCCCAGCTGATTTCAAGAATCGGTTCCTTACCACCGGCGGCGAGGCATACGATATTAACGAGAGTTCCAGTACCTCTGGCTCCTTGCCCGGTGGCCTCATGTATGGAGCAGTCGCCGGCCTCACCGACGGTGGGTTCAATGGTCAATCCTTTGACGACATCTTCCTTCTTGCCAATGGCACTGTCGACTGGCAAAACACCTTCATGTTCGGCTACCAAGGTATCCATGAGATGATGGAAATCGGCCGCCAACCGCAATGTGTATAACACCGGAAATGACAAGGTCTATACCTACTATCAGTCGTGCTCTGAGGGCGGCCGTGAGGGCTGGTCTCAGGCCCAGCGGTATGGCTATGATTACGACGGAATTATTGTCGGTGCGCCGGCTTTCCGCTTCGCCCATCAGCAAATCAACCACCTGGTGCCCAACGTCGTTGAACAGACCATGGATTACTACCCGCCTCCGTGCGAGTTGGAGCTAATTGTAAACGCCACCATCGCTCCTTGCGATCCGCTGGATGGCCGCGCAGACGGAGTTGTCGCCCGCTCCGACCTGTGCAAGCTGCATTTCAACTACACCTCCTTGATCGGTGCTCCCTACTACTGCGCGGCCAGCTCCGGTGGCAGCAGTCTTGGTCTCGGGTTTAGTAAACGGCAGTCCATGAGCTCGACCCCGGCGCAGAACGGTACCGTCACCAAGAAGCCGTCGAATTGGTTCAGACACTGCTCGCCGGTTTGAAGGACACCCAGGGTCGTCAGGCCTACTTGTACTTCCAGCCCGGTGCGGACTTTGACGATGCTGAAACCACCTACGACTCAGAAACCGGCACCTGGGGCCTCAGTATTGACGGTAACGGGGGCGAGTTTGTGGCGAAGTTTGTGAACCTACAGGAAGCGGACACGCTAACTTCTCTCGACAATGTTACTATGACACCATCCGCGACTGGATGCAAATGGGATGGACAATGTACGAGGACACCCTGATGACTCACAACCCCGATCTCAGCGTCCTCCAGCAATCCGGTGGTAAGATTCTGCACTTCCACGGTGAGCAGGACCCCAGCGTGCCCACTGCCTCGTCTGTCCACTATTACGAGGCTGTGCGCAAGATTATGTTCCCCAATGAGTCTCTCAACACAAGTGCTGCCGCCTTGGGCGAGTTCTACCGACTGTACCTGGTCCCCGGTATGGCTCATTGCGGCACAAACAGCGAACAACCGAACGGACCTTTCCCGCAAACCAATATGGCCGTCATGATCGACTGGGTGGAGAACGGTGTGGTTCCTGTGACGCTGAACGCGACCGTTCTCCAGGGAGACAATGAAGGAGAGCACCAGCAGATCTGCGCATGGCCCCTTTGCCCTCTCTGGTCCAACAACGGGACTACCATGGATTGTGTATTCGACCAGGCCTCGTATGATACTTGGATCTACGATTTCGACGCCTACAAGCTTCCTTTGTATTAGGAGCGGAACATCAATTTTAGCCTCGGGGACTTGTATGGGAGGCCAGAGGGGTGGGTATGTCTCAGATAGGCTTGCGCTGATCGCTGATTGCGATCACATTTCTGCGGCCTTGAAAGATGTATGATATAGCGGCAGTATTAGTACGCTTTTGACAATTTTGTATACTCTACAACGGACGTATGTAATTTATTCAATCTGAAATGAAATTAAACTTTACTCATTGTACATAACATCTTCTTATCAATTCAAGTACTAAGTATCCCATGATATCACCGTATAAGGCTAAGTGTTTATAATATCAGCTCCAATGGAAGTAAGGATTTCAGCAGTATCACGCGTAGCAGAAACCTACTTAGTAGTAGTTCTCACTCAACCTGACCAATCTGCCATTGCAGCTCCAGTCTGACATTATTGCACCACTTTCTGCAGCCGCTGCATGCGCAGGCCTGTTACCACAGAGCCCGTCAGGGTCCAGCACGGGCGGCAAAAAGTAATTGCCGGGGCATACAGCGTTGTCCTAATTCGGTTAGTTCAATTACCAGCGCGGCTATTGCAAGCTGGATCTAGTTAGTCTGAACCTAAATTGCCACGCAAAAACTCAATCATCAGATAACGGAGTTCCCGCCCGAGTCGCCCGCGATGTAATGAAATCTAGAAAGAAAGAAGCTTTTCTCAGATAAAGATATCTCCGCGATAGTCGCGGTAATCATCCTATAATCCACTTGGGATTTATACCAGATTTATAATATTCGTCATGAAACCATAGATTCACTTTCGTTATTATTGCTACCTATACGATAGGCTGAACATCTATACTCCATTTGAATTATGTAAAATTCAGACTAGAAATTTCCGAAAAAAAACTGATAATACCGTTTATCTTCTATTTGACTCATAGGCTCTATATAGGGCTGTACCAGTCTCTGTTGGTCAAAATAATCTGAATAGAACATCTTTAAAATGATATTACATGAACGACCGACTCGGGTGGCGTTACCTGAAAAAGTAGAATAACGTTAAGGTCATGTGGCCTGTTCCGCGAAGTCGTAAGCCAACCCCGCAGGTCAAAAATCCAAACTCTGATGATGTTGAAGTGTATGATATGATGGCTTCCCGCTACCATTACTTGCCCGAACAACCCTTGCTGATATTATTTCGCGAGATACGCTTCCTATGAAAACTACCGATCGTTGTATAAAACCTCCCGTGAGATCTCGATCGGGATGTCTGACATGCCGCCGGCGGAAAAAGAGATGCGATGAGCGTCGCTCTTCCTGCACTGGCTGTCAGCGTAACCGCCTTGAATGCCAGTGGGAATCTGCTGACTCGATTCTATGGCCCAAACGCCGGAAGACAAGGGCGGGATTGGCCGAGAAATTACTCCCTGACCAGGCACAAGGAATGGTGAATGTGTTCTCAGTCCTAACGCCCGACATAGTCTCCCGCTTGCTCCGTCACTTCCTCACGCCTAATTCAGCACGGCCATATCATGGGAACCTCACAGTCTTTATTCATCGCCATTTACCGCATATCCCGTCTGTCTCATAACTTGCAGTCTAGCAAAACTGCCGAGGTGTTTTCCGCACGACAGGAACTTTTGCTGTTGGACCAAGAATTAATGGCCTGTCAAAGCCAGCTCACCCATGATAATACTATGAACCAGGAGCATCTCAATGATGTCATTACATCGAACCTGTACAGTTTGGCATGCCGCATCCACATAAGGGCACTCTTTCCACCACATGGATCTGACGACAACGACACAGTTCACTCTCTGGTGGATGAGTTCATAAACAATTTACAGCATCTGCCTCCGCACTCGCCTTCGCACAACATACTGTGCTGGCCACTGGTTGTTGCGGGCCTGTCCGCACGAAATCCTGCACATCAACGTATCATCGTTGCAAAGCTGAACAATATATACGAAGAGTGGAAGTCAGCGGTCTTCTCAAAAAGTGCTGATTTCCTGCGAGAACAGTGGCGAAAAGATAGGGAGATGAGACGCAGATTGCCCATTACCAGTGGCTACGAGGAGTCATCCATGTTAGATGGGCTGACATGGTATCAATGTCCTGTCATTCTGGCGTAACTCGTCTGGTCAGTGGATTATCTTATGACGCTAATCAACTTGCTTTCACGCGTAATTAGCTTTGCGAAAGACTTGTATTGTGGACATATCGGATTACCACCCTGAGCTTGCATTGTATATAGTTGTGTACTGTTTGCAAAAATAAATGCACCAATGTATATAGTTTCAATATTCAGTACTATGCTTGCTGTCAGATTTTACATACAACCCTGAGAAATTCCAAGATAGCGACTATACGAGAAAAGAGATAGTAGCAAACTCCATCCAAGGAATATGAAAACAACAAAAGCCTCTTCATTAGTGTATTCACTGCAGCGGTTCTAAGTATACTCGAGTAGTCTCATGCCCGCATCAATATATTTCCATTCGTGTGGTTGCCAGGCTGCAGGAACCACCATGCCGGTATGCCGTCTTTCCGAATTGGAGATTACGGCACAGATTCTGCAGGTTCACACCGGCTGAACTGACCAAGTAACTCATCACCAATACCATGCAATTGTCGGGGTCTCGAGTAAACGACTTCACAATGATTGATCTCACTCTGGCGGTCAACCCAGCATTGTCGATACCGGCCTCTGCCAGAACGGCGGAAGCGTAAACCTCCTCACCGGAAAAATAAATTCAGATGAGTGATTTCTCCTGCTTCAGAAACACCTGGTCCACAATAATCGGTAACATTGCTCGCATCTTGGGGGGCGCCCCGCATCAGCCATTCAAGGCCGCCTGTGTCAAGTTCTATTGCATCCCCATCGCCATCGTTGAGTGAGACCTTGGTATGATGGTGCTCTCTGGTGCCTGTGTAAAAGCCCGTTACGGAATTCTGGCTATGATTGATGTCATTGATATTTGACACATGAGTGGGTGAGTGAAACATCAGGTGAAAGGCAAAGAATCATCGATTTGGGCCTGTAGTATAGTGGTAGTCCAGAAGGCCGGCAGCGGCATACATGTTCGTTGTGTAAAGACGTTCTGCAACAGCCCAATACGTTGTGCCTTTCCGCTCATGCAATATCTGAGATTCAGATGCAGGGTTGTATATCCAATGCCCTGATCTGTTGAGTCATCTAGTCATATGGTTGGGAAAGCCTTAGCAAATGCGTCTCACTTCCCGACATTGTCTGACTCTTCACGTGACGATGGCATGTCGCAGTCATATATTTAGCTGTCAGTTTTAGTTGTGTCCCTTGCATGCTGAACACAAATGCCTCCTCTTTAAGCAAAAGTATGAATCCGATCTCTTGCTGCTTTGCATCAAAGGGTGCGGTGCCAGAGGTTGGTCACCTGGCGGAGTCCGTGGGTGGTCCTTCGTGATACTCAGTAGGCTATTTCATACAGACGCTTTTGCCTTCTGAATTGAGCATTCATGTAGATAGAAACGATATCGCACTATTCCCAACGGTGATACTTCATCGCTACGTAGGTCATGAACATCTTGGGTGCGAATCGCTGGCCACGGGAGTGAAAGATTCGTCGTATTCGATGCCTAACATCTGGCGGTTCCCACAAATAACCCATGGTTTGTGCACTTCTCACGCTGTCCAAGGTGAGCCCTGTGCTTGGTCGCTTGGTGGATTTTGTTTCGCCTGTTGAAATGGAGAATAGTTCATACACCGCGACGCATGGCCTTTGTCTGTCAACCATCAGCCAAGAAAGTGTGACCATCTGTGCGTGCCTCGCATATTATCGGATTTAGTTCGCACACTTTTCGGCCAAGCCTATCTCATAGTCAATAACACGTTGCGCTTGTCAGTTAGAGCGATAGGTTTACCCGCAGTGATACCAATGGAATTATTCCGTTATAGAAGAGACGGTGCACGGTTTATATTGACTCGAAGGAATGCCACCATCGTTGGACAGTGGGACGTGGGACATTGGTCTCAGGGTGGTGAACATTTCCTGACCGTTTGATTATATATTGTAGCCACCTTTTCTCAATGATCATATATTCTGAGGGCATCAATCATAAGGATATAATACTGCCCTGAGTTCAGAGTCAGCATGTGGGAAGGTTTCCCATCTGAAGATTAAGGCTTGCCTCTTGGGTATGCTTTCTCTTTATCATCATCGCTGGAAGCTGATAGGTCGGGTACCATGTTCTTCGCGTGGTCATAGGGTTTGGCGTATTGACCAAAACAGATAGATGGTGAATTTTTTCGCAGTTTCCGACATTTCTACAGATGTTTTGTCTGTTAGCGTGATATAGACATAGGAATGGCGTGTGCATACTGATCAAGCGTCGAAGTCGATACACCATGATAGAGCTTCAGGAATGTATCTCAAGGCTCGATCTAGGAAGTCAGAGTATGACCATCTTCCGATCTATAGAGGTTGGAGGGTATGGCTTCAGATGAATTTTAGAGACAAGAATTTTAAAGACAAAACAGTGGGACGGAAGCTTCCTTTTATATAGGGGTTGCAAAGACAATGGGCCAGATGAATTCCCCGCCATCTGCCTACAGTGACGCTTCATATGTTAATGTCACATTCATGCTTTTTTTTCACTCGGGCTTTCAAAATACGAAAGTACAGTACTAAATTCAATACTTACATCAGTCAATCACTTCGTTGCACATTAACCGAGCGAGATATCAAATCGTGAGTGATGATGCTCTAGTTTAATGGGCCGCTAGTACTAGTAGTTAACAGATTTATATATAGTGAAAGGGATACTAAGTACTTCCCGGTCATTCGACTGACAATTTTACCACCGATCAAATAACTGATATGCAGGTAAGACTCCTTCCCAGACAGAGAGTGTGATACTTAGATAAATACGTGGTTTTTCTAGGATGTTTCCGAGGCTGAGTAGACAGGATCCGTGGGCATCTTAGGAAGACCGGAATTTTCCGCAAGGCATTACATTTACATCAGTGTACTATTATCAACTTTTTATGTAATCCAATGGATAGAGAGTAGAAAGTTGATCACATCAAGAAATTGCAATGCTGCTATAATACGTAATCGGGGCCTTTGGTAACTGGGCTTCATCGAGCTGGTGACCCTGATAATAAGCACTGGGAGTTGATTACCAAAGAAAGGGAGGATAATATGAGCGAGTCATATAGCGTAGTCTAAAGCATCTTATCATCAAGTTGGGCTTGTGGTTTAGGGGTATGACGCTCCATTCGCATTGGAGAGGTCCCGGGTTCGATTCCCGGCGAGTCCATTTTTTGTTTTTCGGTCTCTCTGCTACGCCACCGGGACGGATAGTCTGGGTACAGTTACCCGCGTGGAGATCACTTAATTGGGACACTAGTAGTATCTGACCTACTGAGCTACACGCTACGCTGGACTCTTATGATGCAGTTTGTTTAACACTTTTTAGACCTCGGCATTCTGTTATGATGATTCCTGACGAGAATTATAAAACCAATGTGGTTGTCCCCAAAATACCCTTCAATTCCATCACCGGATTTACAGTTGTTAAATTACGTCCAATATGATATTGGTTGGTGTAGTTCGAAGCTACGGACGAATATTTAAGGTATAATCCTTATCCATTTCTTCAAGAACTAAATCTCATATGTGCCTTACATCTCTCAGTATTGTTTGGTTCTAGTGAGTAACCAATCATGGATCATGAGTAGATGTAACTTCTTTTGAAATAGACAGCTATCAATAAGGCATACCTTGGTGTACACTAATAAGTACTAGCTCTAATAGACACTGTAGGATAGCTCTAAAGGAGGTTTCTAGTAGCATTTGGATAGGCCATGGATAACTGCAAAGAGGATTGATGAAGATGGAGAGAAGGAAGAAGGTGGGAGAAGACGAGGTTTAAATAGGCAAGAGTAGATGGCGTGAATATGGCAGAAAGCATTCCCCTATCTGGCAAAATGTGAAGCCTCGTGGAATCCGTATGGGAATTCTCTATAAGAAGGTTAATTCGGCTCCAAGGGTGAATCCCGGATCCTGAATGCTTCAACGAAGTCAGTAGAGAATTAATTCTCATTTCTTGATTAGCATTGTAAAACTGCCTGCATCGGATATTTCATTAGATATATTGAGTAGTGAAGAGCCGATCTATCTACAAGAGGGTTGGTGGAACACTTTGCCTTCTACCTGAAGCAGAAGATCGTATCCTTTTGGTCGATGTGGTAGTATCGTTGGTATACTAATGACTGGTCTCGCGCTTGCTGTCAGGAATCCACCATAAGGTGGTAAACCCCGGTATGTTGTCCCTTCCTCAAGGACACAACATCGCTGGAGCGAGATAATTCATGACTATGATATGGTGGTGGCTCAGCATCCCAGTCAGATAAACATGGTTCATCTAGTGTATTCCACAGCGGTCTCTTCTCAACATACGTCTCATAAGACTCCGCAATTTTAACTGGTAACGTAGCATTCAACGACCGACGACGTCCACTCGAGTCGGGCGTAGAATACGACATACGCATGTCGACAAGATAGGCTCGTGAGAGAAGACACGTAGAGAATGGTATGAGATGTCCGTTCCGAGGCATGCGCATAGGGAGGTGTATGGATGTTGTGTAGTATAGCGTGTTGCCGCTCTGATGCTCGGTGACGTAGTCCTCAGGGGTTGGCTCATGCTTGATCCATTGCGTAGATGAGATATCCTCTGATCGCATCGCAATATTTTCGACATGTGCTTGTCGGTATTGCGCCTCATGGTGCTTGAGCCGTTTAGCAGTCACCCTTGTCGCTAAGAATGTTGATGCCTTGAGCGTACAATGTAGGTGTCGTAATTGAGGAGGCTTCGCTTCTCCCGCTGCTTCGAAGCGAAGCGGTATGGTAAGATATGCGTCGAAGGAGCCATTCGAGAAATCCTCAAGACAGCGCCCCTGCGTCAGCTGTGCAGAAGACCCTTCCACAGATAACCTGCCCGGAGAAAGCGATGCTTTGCTCTTCACGTCCTGCTTCGGGTTGTGTTGCAATGATATGAAGGTCTGCAGGCTTCGCGGGAGGTGGTTCGATTCATGCGCAGGGACGAACCGTAGATCTCTTGTAGATGTAGTTGTTCTTTCGTTATTGACATATTTTACTCTATGGTAGAATACCGTAGCACGGATATAGTACGCAATTCGACAAAGTTCCTGAGACAAGTTGGCGAATCGCAGTGTTGGTGGAAGCTTAGCATGCCGATGATCGGCCCAACCATTGCTCTTTTCGTGTATGCAAGACCCCAAGGGCAGTTCCTCGGGAATAACGAAAGAGAATGGATAACTGTAAGTTCTTCCGGAGACATGAGTGGGCGAGATAGGAGTTTCAATGGGTTGTTGGAGCTTTAGGAATGTTTGGCAGGCTGCAGGTTCACGGAGTTCGGTAATTGGCCGCGGTAAAGCCACCCGGGAAGAGCCTAATGTTTTTTAGACCTTATTGGGCGAGTAGTGGAGGGATTGGATGAGCTACATACCTTCCATTGTAATTTGAATATTGTTGACATTTGTGTCATTGGGCGCAGCCACGGTCACTATACCCTCGATGCGGTCCCATGTTGTGTAACTTGGTTTAGGATCTTTTATTGTGATTTTGATTATGGGAGCATGAGATCTCGCTGAAAGCCACTTCATGATTGCATGCAATGGCAAGTCCCAAGAATATGCAAGAATGTCAATTGAACTTTAGCAGATTTTATTTTCCCCCGGACTGCTTGCACTTATACCCCCAAACGATGACTCTCCATTCTTCGGGACCTCATGCCGGACTTGCTGGGTCCCGGAGTCGGAGTCTGTCCCGGGCAGATGTGTTCGGTTGCCTCTCCCGAAGATGGGAGCTTCTTTTGCCCCGTGCTGCTGAAGGTCTTTATTTACTGAAGAAAATTCTTCCACTTCAAATCTAGCTAAGAAACGGCCGAGTTTCTATGAAAAGATTTCAGGGATCTTTGCCGGTGATCTCTCGTCGGTACTCATACTACGAGCGATGCAGGTTGACTAGGGTTGGTCAACTACTAGGAATCTCAAGACGGTATACTCGGGTACCGGTACCCGGGATAGGATTGGATTCCCAATACTGCATTCCAAGAACCGGGTAGACAGGTCCACCACCTCTCTATGGGCCGAACATTTCGCTGGGACAGGATATCCAGCGAGTAACGTGTTTTTCAAACCTTTGTGGGTCCAGAACACTGACGGCTACTGAAAGAAGGTGCTACTTTCCGACGTCCCCGGTGACATCATCTAAACCATTGAAAAATTTGTCTTTTGTAATAGTAACCTCGTAATGTACAGCTTGGAACAAGATCTAAACCTTCATTGAGGCCTATCAAACTCCAATTCGGCGTCCACATTTCCAAGAAACGAGAGGAATGCATCCGGCATAGGCCATATGCTAGGCGGCGCTGCAGTATCCTCGGAGCCTGGAATCGCGGCAAAGGCATCAAGTTCCTGCGGAAATGATGAGAAGAACCCGTCAAATGAAGGAATACTGCCTGGATCGTTTGGCGACTCAGCCGCTATTGGAGACGGAAAAGCTTCCGAGTTCAAAGGACCTAGCCGCCAGAGCTTGGCCCATTTCTGGAATTGGTCATAGCCTGTCTCAGACGATTCTCCTAGGTGGCTTCGTTCGCCGAGATCGAGCTGCTGCCGAGCACGCTCAAGCGCTTCAATTACTGCAATCTCCGACCGAGCTGACTCCAGTCCTACACAGATCTGGCGGATCAGGCCCATTCCTCGCGTTAGGGCACCACCTATCGGTTCTGACGACCCGCTGAGAAGCTGCGCAATCAAGGCCAGCAAAGCTGTGCGGCACGAACTGAACTCCGTGTATGACACGCGCGCGAGCCCGACCGAGTCATGCAGCAGCTGACAAAGGTCGATGATTCTTATTGCTGCTTGTGTGCAGTTTCGCGAGAACGCCTCAACTAACCCTGTACGACCACCCTCTTTTTCTGATCCATGTCCACCGCTATCCGCGGCCTCGTTTTGTAGAAAGATAAAAGGCCGACCCATGTAAATAAGTGCAGTAGCGTAGTTTAGCTCAAGGTGAACATTGGACCGAAATAAGGGCCCGGCCGGATCAAGGTCGCGGCAGTGCAGTGTTGTCGGGAGCGAGTCCCACCACCTGCTCAACTCCATCCTCAGGTTGCATAATTGGTGCAGATAGGCATCTTGATGACTACGCGGACATCGTCGCAGTCGTAGGATGATCTGGGCCACTTTCTCAAGCCTTTTGGTCAAGTGGATAGCCGCCGTGACATTCGGTAAATTCGAGATACCGCCGGGTTGGCGTAGCTCAACCAGGTCAGCAGGCATGTCGGCGTCTGTTTCAGAAGGAGACACGGATACAGGACGGCCATGAAGGATGCTGATACGGCTGTGCGACTGTGAGTCCGGTTCACACGACGTAGACTAGTGCCTCACCTTTCAAGGGAATACGCTGTCCACCACAAACGGTTCCGCCATTCCACTATCACTGGAGAAACCGACGGCGCAATATGCTTTCGGTGCATTCCATTCTGGATGGCCATCTTAATGGCCAGGCCGTAGTACGTGTAGGCCAATCCTGCGGTATCAATCGGCAACGTATACACACCCAGTAATAGAAAGGCCTGCACAGTCTCAAGCGAGGCGGTGGTGATGAGATCAGGGATCAAACGACACGAGAACCGATAGAGATCCATCCCAATGCGGTCGTCAGGAATGTCTTCCGAGAAAGGAGGCTTCTCCGTCGAGGAAGTCTGCATGTATGCAAATTGAGTGCCAATCGCAAACGTCATTAACAGGGTACAAATCCAACCCGCATCGTCGATCACAAGCGGCCTGTCGACAGAATAATAGTAGTCCATCTTCTCCCGAAAGACTGACTCAGGAAAATAGAAATAGTTTGTCTGTGCATACTCGAGGAACGTATTAGTAAGAAATTCGGCAACAGGACGAGGTGGGAAGTATCCTATAGCGGAGGCGACACACGAATTGGCGGACTGCAGGCCAGTAGCACGAAAGAATCCATCCGAGGGATTTAAGCCCTGAACAATCCGTCAGCGGTGCCATGGGTGAATGCAATTTGAGGAGCGCATGCATCTTTCTGTCCTTTAGGAGTACCCAAGCTCTGTAGACGTCGACGGATCATTTTGGAGAAATTCCAGTGCGACAACTCTCCTGAATAGTCTAATGCGAGGCCGGTTAACGGCAGTCCTGATGAACAGTATCTTGGACATACGCATGGTGTTTGTTGACAATGGCTCCAACGAATAGCTCTCCGGTGTCTGGTCTTCATCCTCCACCCCTCGCGTCTCTGGAGGAGTCCCGCGGTACCGTCCGCTTTCCAGCAAGTCCGCGGTCTCCTCTAACCGAGCGGGATCGAGCGAGATGTCCTCGCCTAGGAAGTGACGTATAATGCGCTCCATTTGGAACTCACGCTGCGACGGTACTGCAGACATACTTGTCGACTTTGGTCGAGTATCTTCGAAGTGGCAGGTGCGGTTGTATTGCTGGCAGCGTGCGCAGGGCGGGCCGCCACCATGGCCTACAGCTCCGAGGCCTGATCAGTCGAGGGACGAGGAATCGCGGGTGCAACAAATCATGACGGTGAAAGTACATTTTTCCTTGTGTTGGCGACAAGGCAGGCATCTAGGAGTCAAGTAAGTGTCAATGGCTATTTTGAAGCTTGGATGGGACGAAGGAGCATACGCGCGGGCGGCTCTCTTGCGGAGCGCATCAGGAACTCGCGGTCGCTTCTGGCGACCAGGTCGACGTGGGAGTGGTGTGTCCATCGTAGGTATAGTATGGGGCACCGCCCATTATGCCAGAGCTAACAATCGCGAGCCATTGAATTGTTGGGGAGAAAAGAAGCTTCGTGAGGGAAGGAAAGTGATGATGGAGATGATTAGCGGAAGCGGGGAATCCCTGCCTCAGAAGGGGTTGTGGTCAAGTCACATGCCCGAAGCTTTCCACAACCATCAGAAGCTCTGCTCGTAGTAAATACCTTTGCTAGGGTACTGTACTATGGTTTTCATCGTTAGATTGATTGTGACGGAATCTACGTGGTGTTTCTGCGAGGATCCAATTCCCTGAAAAGCCGAAATGCGTTAATGGCCGTGGTTGGGTTACAGAACATAGCATACTACTGTGGAGCGGTTACTTGAACGTGCGATCAAAAGGGTCCAGCGTAACATCTACCTCTTTCTTGGTAATGATGCCATGCATATAAACCCTGCTCCCTTAATATTGAGCACATACGACCACAGGGTGTGGAAAATAGGGCTTCCCGTCCGCTCAGCCGTACTCAAGCCACACGCCGGGAGGTTAGTAGTTGGGTGGGTGACCACCAGCGAATCCCTTCTGTTGTATGTAATCGTCTCTTTTTGCCTTTCCTTTTTTTTCCCCCATCTTCTTTATCTAGTCTAACAAATGGATCTTTCATACTCAAAAGACGTCAGTCACGTAAATGATGAACTAGTGGTGATTGATTGTTCTGGCCCTATCCTTGTTACGTCGATGATAATTTTACCGCTGCTCGGCATCGTCCCGGATGTTTCTTCGTCATGCCCGTTAACAGAAAGCTTCTCTTCTGGGCAGAATGACTTCTTTAACTCAATGTTCGTGAATTGCTTTTCGAAATCCACCACAAACACATCCACAGGACTAGAGCCGCACCAGAGAGCCCAAGAATGAAGGGCTGCAGAATCTGGACCCCTCTGGCTTCTGCCACTGCACCAATCGCCGATGGCATCAATGCTGCTCCAGCCCCTCCGATTGCCGAGGCAAAGCCGATCGAGCTCACGTGCAGTGATTGGGGAAGCAGCTTGGTGGCCACTGCAATGAGGACCGGAAATAGAGGGCCAAGAAAGAAGCCTTGCAGGGAGACTGCGACTGCCGAGACGTTGAAATTTGGCACGAGCCAGAAGATGAAGCCGAAGATGATCGCCAACACGGAATATAGCTGCAGAAAGTGAGCATGAGCTAAGACCAAACTCACTGATCAGGTTGGAAAGGGTAAGAGGTGACATACTGTAACTGCCGGTTCTTCGCCTATCATCGGCGTAACAAATCCGAGGAAAATGCGGCCACAGGTGATGCCCAGCCAGAATCCTGTAACAGCCATGCCGCTGGCAAACGGGCTACCATGGCGTACCTGCATCATGAAGACCACTGTCCATCCGCCCAAAGCGACTTCAATTCCAACGTAAATGAGCAGGAAGAGCGCGCAGATCCAAGTGACCCGAGCATAGGGCTGTTGGAAAAGAGCACGCTTTAGGCTACCATGTTCACTGTCATCGGGGTCATCGCCGGCTCCTCTGGTGATCGGTCGATCATGCCAGAAGGCAATGGTGCAGACAACGGCTTCCATAGTAGCGCACACGGCCTATATCCATATGAGCAAATAGCGAAGATAGTAGACATCGGAAAGCGGTACCATAATAGTGTAAAAGTAGAACCACGGAAAATTGGCCTTAGTCACCAGTCCGGATACGATTAATGGGCTCAACACAGCTCCCAGCCCATATAAGCCATGTAGCATCCCCAGTAACTCGTTCGAGCGAGACAGGCTGCTTATCCAAGCGTTCCATCCCGAGTCTGCTAACCCGTTCCCGAACCCAGACAGCACAAAAGATACCACAACGATAGGGAATCGAGGATGCAAGGAGACGATACTAAACGTTAGCAAGTGGCAGGTCGCTGAAATGAAAGCGATACCACGACGGCCCACTTGGACGTGGACTTCGCTGTTCAGGAGTGCCGCAAGCGTGTAGCCACAGATAGGAGAGAGGAATAGAAGCGAAACGGTGCCGTGTGAGATTTCGTAGTATTTTTCAAGCTTTCTACTCAGCAGCTTATCTACAACAGGATGGCGAGATTGCACTTACGTAGGGAATCAAAGGCTGGACGAGTGTTAGTTTCAATAACGGCAAATCTGTTCTTCTCTACAGTCCTTACCCCATATGCTGCATCACCCGCCCCCATAATAAGAAATGTCCAGAAGACAGCTAGAACTTTAAGGACATTGGAGCCGGGTCCCTGCCGCCGTTTACTGTGGCCCAGTGGATGCTCAACATCATCTGGGTGAGGGTGTGAAGGTCTGTGCCCTAGCAAGGGGCTGTCGACTGTGGACATTGCGTTGCCCTCCAAGGAGGATGAATTTTATAGTATGATTTTGAGAGTGTGTTAAGTGAGGTATTAAATCCTGGCTGTGGTTTTGGATACACCAGGGCTGGAGAGTTGGAAATGTTGGGATCATTTGTTAACTAGTTGGCGACTGATAACCAACCCCGCAGACCCTCTGATAGGCGCCCGTGCTACCGTGCATTAATAATTGAGTGGTTGGTTGATTAGCGTGTCATGCAGCATGGATCCACTACTAGTGCTGATGGGATGCCGAGTTATTAGCGCGAGTAGGGCCAGTTGGGGTCTCTTACGAGCTGCTTTCTTTGCCGTGATCGGATCTAAATCAAAACAAGGTTATCCCGCTGATCAAAAGTCTTTTTGACATTGTATGAGGGTATGAAAACATGGACCAGCCGGTTTCGGGAGAGTTGAAGCAAACATTTCACGGAAAAGGGACAATCACGAAGGACGTGAATTGCCACCTGGCGCGGAAGAGAGCGGTGTATCGGTCAATGAGACTAAGAGTCGGTGTAACAGAGACACGTTTTGCCCCATCTACAGATCACTGATATTGTTATTCCGCGAAGCAAGAATGTACCTGAATAATGAAGCGGCATTTCGAGTATTTTTGTAATATGGCCGAAGACAGATCCTCTTCACCACGCTTATACATAATCTGTGTTGTAGTGATGCTTTTCTGCGAGCAAGTCCCGATGGCTGCACCACATGCAAAACAATTTATTACAGGATGGCTTCAATGACTCTCTTGCAGTAGGCAGTCATTCAGGTAACTGCGTGGACACACAATCATAGCGCAGTGTGCATTCGACTCTTTGGATGTCATAATCATAGAAGGAATTACGCCATTTATCCACATACCCCAAACCAGTTTAGGCTTCTAACTCTGCACTCGGTACTGCAGGGACTGTATAACTGTGGGAACAGCAATTATAGATTTATCCGCCGGCATTCCTGGACCCATATTCTTCCGCTCTTACGAGAGCATCGGGTAAGCATCACTAAACATATACCACTAAATCAGTATGCGATAGATTGGCAGCAGCAGAAGAGTCCGCGTCTCCACTTGCAGGCACCCGCGTCTGACATGCCGGGATTTGGCTGGATGCCAGACTCTCGTCGGAATAACCCTTTTTGGGTCTAATGTGGTGGACTCATGTACTTTATGCAATGTGAGAGGCTACAGTGCACCAGATAAGGGTCTAAATGGCATGATGAACACCGGTATCAGAAAATTAACAACCAATTAGAAAATGCACATGGTACTGTTTTATATCCCTATCTGCCATCTCATCTCATTGACATGTACAATGCTTATGTGAAATTCTCAATGTAAGTATTCGAAGCATAGTCTTGAATGGTCCTATTATGGATATTGGGGGCTTCAGAACTGCCCTGTGATTTAGTATGGGTTTGAGGATGACCCTAAGCATATAATACTAATATATGTCATATTGACAGGGCTTGGTGCTACAATGTGAAGTAGCCACAAGTGTATCCCAACCTGTACGAAAATCATTCTACACTATTCTCAATCCATATTTTCTGGTGAACTAGCACCTAGTAGCTTTCGTAGCACTAAATACGGCCAGCATATGGCAATGATCTAAATAATTAATTCAGTTCTGCCACTTGAGGCGATGGTGGGGCTCCACCGAACTGATCGGAAGCTCATCATAGTGACGTATTCAATTATCGATCTACGTATAGTGCACAACACCAACATTAATTTTTAATTACTGTCCACTTATTCCATTGCTGCTAGCCTGTCTGGCTTTTATGTAGTTAGTGTGTCGCTGGAGGCTCGCAACTGCTAGAAGAGTCAATTTGTCGGATCTTTGTTATATGGGAAGTCAAACTGTCAAAGGAGGTACTTCCGGCATCAAATAGGTCGAAAGGCGAGGTGATTAAAAGATATTTCAGAGTCGTTTGTAGAGGAATTGAGAGATTTTACGTACGACTATTAGGCATGACATTTTATGCAGCAACACATAATTACCTCACACTTGGAAAGACGAGTCTCAATCCAGCCCCCAGACAACTGCCTCGTCCACTTTACGTGGCTATGCATCTTTTTAGTAAATGGGATCTACTCTCAGGATTGTCCTCAAGGGGAATTTTGATACCCCCATCCCGCTACATTCATAGCGTTTGACAAAGCGGCTAGAGCGTTGCTTGATACTATCGATGTGTAGCATCAGCATGACATCTATCTTTAAAAGAACATCATCAGTATACACAGTATGTGCATATAGATCATCTTGCAAACTGCGCTAGGTATGCATGAAGTCTCCACCTACCTTGGAGATGGCTTCACGGATTACTATTTTCGGAAGTGATCGGGGTTGCCATTACGAACTTTACCAGATCAGGTCCACAGACAGTTCATCTCATTGATTGCAGATGAACACATGTTCATAGTCATGATGATATCAATCTAGTCGACGATCAAGTACATAGAAACCACTGGATAAGCATATAAGCCACGTCTTCCTCTAATTTCGATAGTCCAGTGATTCCACCAGACAACATCTAGCAACATACCACCACTGAAACTAGTATACTATTATATATCCGCACATTTACATTCACAATCACAATGGGCCGCACTTATCGTACTCACCACCCCAAATTCGCCCCCGGCAACACCGTCAACTTGCGCAGTTATCGCCGCAGCCTGCCCTTCCAGCGCGATGACAAGGGTAACATCACCGGCTACGACAAGCTCCTGAACGATTCTCGCAAGAATGTTGAACACTACGATTCTTCCGGCACCCTATACGCGAATGCCACGGAAGCACTACAGGGTGACCGGTTCTACGTTGAGCAAGGTGACAATGGATACCGGTTCAAGGAGACCGAGACGGGAAAATATCTAGCGCTGAAGGGACAGTATGTAGTGCCCTCATTCCCACCTTGGCATGGCACAAGCTGACTACTATGGTATTTCTACTAGTTGGATTGGACTCGATGATGAAGGAACAGATCTCTGGTTCGAGGAGTGGCCAAAAGAGGAAGGCAGGTATATAATCACGTCGCGAGGGGATAATATCTATCCTGAGGATGGGCCGGGATATCACCTATGGTTCGAGGGGGCGCCGGATGCAGTGTTTCGGAATGGTGACGATGATTTGAATGTCAAGAGGGAGGGGCAGCATGCGATCTTTTGGATTGATACTTTGGTGGGGCTGTAAACGTTTGAGCCTCCTTCTACTGTAAAAGAGAGGTGCTCCATATCATATCATACATGAGAGATGAAACATGAGGTCTGCAAGAAGACAATGAGGAATGATTACTACAGGTCAATATGTGATCCACCGTATGCCCGTGTGACCAAATGACCACCAGAGATACTCCCAAGCATCTTGATTGTAAGCACAGTAGAAAGTATTAATTGCTCATATAGAGATTAGGTTGATAATCATATCACGAGGGCTGTGAATATCTGGCCAATCAATCCATTTCGAGTCTTAATACTTTGATTTGGTCAAAATATACAAGTTATTTTCATTGACAGCACGTTGTACTATGTGCAATCTCGTAGTACAGTACCGGTTACTGTGATTGATCAGTAAATATATATGTTTGTCTATAAATCTCTGGTACCATACAATCAATGTATTGCAATGGGCGTTATCAGCCTCCTCTGGCTAGCACGAGCCCAGAAATAAAATCTGCACTGAACACTTCACCTTACGGGTGCCAAGTTTAGAGAACACTGATGTGGACTCAATAGGCTATAGTAAATTAACACAGAGTAGTAGGACGAACGTGGAATTCGTTCCTCCTTGCAGCGCATATGGACATAAATTAACCATGGTCATGCATAACCAGCCTCACATGCGACGACACCAGCCACGATGATGGCGTAGGCAACAGCGTTCTTCCAGAGCCGAGGAGAGCGTGAGACCCTGGGGGATGGTGGTGGTCCGGGGTGATTGGATGACGGGGGGGAGCTTAGGTGGGTCCCGCCAGCCTTAAGGGGCGCTTCCAGGCCTTGGCGCTTCTAGGCGAGGTACAGCTTTGGGGAGAGCGCAATTTCATCCTGGAAGAATGACCAGTAAGCGTCTCCCCAGTATCCCTGCCGGAACTCTTGGCGGCTTGGCTCAGTTCTCCTGAATGAGGAAGAATGAGAGAAATGGCAGGGAAGTACTGACCTAAGTGACGCTCCACTTTCCCGCCCGACGGGGCAGGGTGTGCTTGGCGCCACCATCACTATAAGCGTGGTTGTTCTTGTGGTAGGTTGCGGATGCGCCCGCCCGAACTGGCAGGCCCATGGAGTACTGAGGTGTGCTGTGTTACCTGACCTGGGTTCAATATGTATCTATTCTTAGCCAATGTTGTCTTCCTCCCAAGCCAATACTTTGGGCTCGGCACGGGGATCTTCCATGCTCTTTCTCGATGGCTGAATCACTTTCATCTGAGCGCACACCCAATCGCACCCTCGGCGGTGGATCGCACCCCAGCAAAATTTGCAGGGCCAAGATCCGCCAGCTCGTCTGGTGTCTGTCCGCAGGGCTGACGGACTTTGGCCAGCAATGCGTCTGCCTGCCTGGCGCCCTGAGCGGATTCCGTGGATTCCGGCTATATAACTGCTGAGCTCCCCGCTGGTCCACTGGCCACCTTTCGAGTGACCCCATACAATACTTTCTTCCGTCCAGATCATAGAACAAACAGAACTACAGCCATGTCCTACCAGCAGCAACCGCCTCCCCAGGGATAGTATGTATCCTCCGAACATTATGAATGTCTGTCCCAGCTCAAACACTAACGCTCTGTCTGTTTAATAGCTACCCTCCTCCTGGTGGCCAGTACCCACCTCCCCAGCCTATGCAATATGCGCCTCCCCAACAGGAACAATCCAAAGACCGTGGCTGCTTGACCACCTGTCTCATCACAATGTGCTGCTGCTTCCTCTGCGAGGAATGGTGCGAGTGCTGTGTCGAAGCCGCCGAATGTTGTTGTTGTGGTTGTTAGTATCGTGATGATGGCTTTCTTTTCCTTTTCTTATGTGCAGGGCGCTGTGATTGGGATTATACCCGGATCGACCGCACTTGGGTGATTGCATTATACTACTGTTTATACTATTCTATATGTTACCATGTCAATGATCATTGTTCTCTGTGACTCAT